GCTTGCAGGGATTTGAAGGAGGTGGCCAGAAGGAGGAGAAGAAGGCAGACATTGGCACAGATGGAGATGGGGCTCAGAGAAGAAGAAAGAGGCTGTGTAATCAACAGGTGAGTAGGCACTTATTGGCAAAGAGGCACAGTGGATTACATTTATAGTCACATGCCCAAGGAGTGTGGTATCCCCTGACAGTGGCATAGATACCAGAGTAAATTGGCTGAGTGAACAGCAATAGGTATGCACATGTGCCTGCAGTATTGGGGATTGAAGAAAGTGTGGTTGTACACCTATTCCAGGCTGTCCTTGATGAGGCCAGAGGGGAGCCTCGAGTTGGGACATATAACTTTCAAGCCCTCCATGAACTGCTGACAGATAGGCTTATCTATCTGACAAGTCCTGATATGTGACAATGCATATCAATCAGCAATCAGTGGGCACATGCTTTGCACACAAATGAGGGTCTTCTTAATATTCCTCAGCCCTAGCTATTCACTGGTTTGTCCAGCTCTGCATATATTTTGATATTCACATCCCTGGACTACTGTCTGCACATTTATCTCTACATCTCTGCCTTTCTTACTTCACCATCTACTTGTACCTATTTTTCCCATCTCACTTCCCTAGTTCCTTGCTTCATTCTATCAATCTTTCACTCACTCTGATGATTATTTCATTGTCTCACATATAAAAGCTTGTAATTGGACTAAAGAAAAATAAATTTATTCTCTTCATAGTTTTGAGTTCAGTTCTTGTCTTCAGCTCATTTCTACTTGGGTATTTTGACTCTCTGCTTTGTCTCATTTGTCCCACGCCGCCCCCGACTTTGTCAAACGTCTAAAATTGTCATTTCTTACTGCTAGTCATGGCACTGAGTCTTGTGGACCTTCTCACATATCACATTTATTCCTGCACTGTTTTAGGTCAGAGCTGACCTCCATTTTGTGTTAGCTTGCACCTATTCCGTCAGCAGGCACGTCACTGCTTGTCTGCTAAGCTGCACAGCATGGCAGTTGGCTCCATTGGTTGCAACCTCATGGTGACCCAGTGTATGCCCTTGTTAGGTATATCTTTGAAATCCATGGTTGGGAACTGCAGACTGTAATTGGTGAGAGCTAGCAAACCCATTTCTGCCTCTTTCTGAAGTCCTCTACCTCTCGAGTAACTTGAGAAGTTGAGAGTGTTCCCTTTGTACAAAAGCCTAGCAGGTAGCCAGTCAAGACTTCACAAAAGTGAAGGGGGTGGACAGGAGACAAGACACGTGGAGGCAGTGTAGACCAAACACTTACCCACTGATACTGATGAGAGAGTCTGAGCATGGGAATGATAGAGCACATGATTAGAAAAAGTAGTGAAGGCATTAATAAGGTGATGTATATACAAATATGTATAGTAGGTAGAGTATACTAGTATATACTAAAATCTATGAGGTATGTGTATATGTGTATAGGTATAATTTGAGGCATGTGGCATGATTCAATCACTTTTTCATCATTTCTTTGATCATCTTATCTTATCTTGACATGGGGTTATCTTATCACGGATCACAGCACCACATAGTCTGGGTTAGGGGTTCAGAGGTCTTATCTGTACAAAGGCTGCACAGCATGTGCTCCAGAAGGTTCTACTACAACCCATGACCAACGCTCTTCATGGTACATAGTCTCATGACTTGTTTGATGTAGATATGACTCATACTGGGACTGGTATAAATACTGTAGCTATTGTGATGTATTCTCCAGTCTTGAAATTTATTCTTCTTATCAACTTGTTTTTGGGTTGATTGTCACAGCATGGCTACTCTAGATCTGTCCTCAGAGGTAGTAGAGAACTTGCACAAGAATCTCACAGGCTATGGTGGGCTTTGTATTGCTTCATCAGCCTGGCTGCATTGCAGAGTTGATGCACAGTCAGCCACTCATTGTGACTTGTGTCAAAACCCTCTCATTGGACCAGAAAGCAGAGCTTCTTCCCTTTTTTGAGGAACTTGTAGCCCACCAGGCTGTTCATGACTTTCTCGTCTTCTTTCCACCTATCAATCCTTGTAGCTCTTATCTGGGACCGGTTTCTGATCTCTGCTGGGGATTCATATTAGGCTTTCAGATGATTGTAGTTGAAAACTGATGAGCCAGGGTAGTCACCCTTCATCCTTAGATGGGAAACTCTGGGGTTAACTCTTTGCACAATCTTGAACGGTCTGATCCATCTCTGGATGAGCTTCCCTCCTTCCCCTTTGGATTCTATCCATCCCAGGGAGTGAGGGTTGACAAGCATGCGGTCACCCACTTTGAATTGGGGTATTGGACGCTTCTGCTGTTTGTACTGGACAACTTGTTGTTCCTAGGCCAGAGCAATAGCGTGCTTTGCACTTTTGTGGTGCATGGTGAGGTGCTCCAAGAAGCCTTCTGTGTCTTGGTAGTCAGAGCTCATGTTACACGGCACCTTGTTGCAACTCCCAGGTAAGCTGATAGTCAGGCTATCCAGCAGCAAGATCAGCAAGAACCTATGGGGACTCCCTGGTAAACACGTGGGGCTGGAGTTGTATGCAAATTCCAGGAAGGGAAGCCATTCCACCCAAGTGTTCCTGTCCCCATTAGCATAAGCTCTGAGCATGACTTCTAGTTGCTTGTTCAGAGCTTCTGTGTGTCTGTTGTGTTGCAGGTATCTGGCTGAGGAGGATGACAAGTGGGTCTCATACATTTGGCTAGAAGCCGCCAGAAGTCTGAGTTCTATTGGGAGTCCCAATTGCAGATGATGCTCTGGCTCATCCCAAACTTCAGGGCAACTCTCTCTACATATAGTTCCACAAACCTTCCCACATCTGGCGCAGTGCTACATAGAATAAGAGTAGGATGTTTGACCAAGCAGTCCACCACTACTAGAATGGTGTTATGTCTATTGGAGTATGGAAGGTTAACAATGAAGTCCATAGAGATGGATTTGTAGGGTCTTGAGAGAATGGGATTCAGAAAGAGGGTTCCAAAGCGCAAGTTGTTTGAGTTCTTGGTCTTCTGGTAGATATTGCAGGACCAACAGAACACCAAGATATTGGCTTTCATACTCTTCTAGTAGAATTGTGGACTCAGCCGCACCCACAGCTTTTTGGGGTCTACATGTGCTCACTCCACTACTGATTTGTGGCTCTCCCTGATGATCCTCCATTTTGTCAGGGGAACCCCCGCTTTGAACCAATCAGCCTGGGATCTGGTATGTGATTGTGCTTGTGTGACCTGTTAGCTGTCATGTCAGCAGCCCAGACCGCCATGCCAAGTGCTTCTCTCTGATGGCAGGTGTGCCATTGTTTCTATTGTCTCTATCTCCCATTGTTCTGTCATGGCCATTGTACTTATTGTTTCTCTTGTTCTTGTTTGTTGCTGTGTAGTATAGTGTTCCTGTATTATATAAATAGTAGGCACCTGGCAAAGAGAATCCCTATCACAGTTGCTCTTTGGATTCTCCCTTGCCAGGTATGCCAGTCTTGTACCTAGCTACCCTTTAGTTACACTTTGGATTAGCCCTTGCCAGGCCTCAAAGATAGAGCCTCGAGGTTGCCCTTACAGCAGAAACTGTGTTCCTAGGAATAACCAAACAAGCTTGTAAAGACTTGTCAACAGCGTCATTTGTCTCTTACTTCCAACCTTGCCCTCTCCTCCCCCTCTACAATCACCATGTTCTACATAGAAGGAGAAGACAATGGCTCCTCCCCTGAGCAGCAACTTGGTTGTGTAGAGAAGACCATGCAACGTATGGAGAGAGCCCTTTACAACCTCATAACTATGCAGCAACAAACTGTGACAATCAACCCAAAAACAAAGTCAATTAGAAGAATGAATTCCAAGATGGGGGGATACAACAGAATAGCTACTGTATTTATACCAAGTTCAGTCTGAGTCATATCTACATCAAACAAGTCATGAGACTATGTACCATGTGGAGCATTGGTCATTGGTTGGAGTAGAACCTTCTGGAGCACACGCTGTGCAGCCTTTGCACAGATAACACCTCTGAACCCTTGACCCGGACTGTGACAATCAACCCAAAAACAAAGTCGAAAAGAGAAGTGAATTTGAAGACTGGGGAATACAACCAGGTAGCTACGGTATCTATACCCAAATCCAGTCTGAGTCATAAGGCTATGTCCCGCATGGAGCACTGGTCATGGGTTGTAGTAGAACCTTCCGGAGCATATGTCACTCAGCCTTGAATCAATAAAGATAATCCCCTGGTCCCCTAGCCTGGACCATCAGATGCTGTGATCCATGATAAGATAAACCATGCCAGGATGAGATAAGATCATTGATGATAAGATGAAAAAGTTGCCAAACTATGACATGGACCATGTGATGCCGTGATCCATGATAAGATAACCCATGTCAAGATCAGATAAGACTGTTGATGGAAAAGATGAAAAAGTGGCCAAACTATGACACTACTGCTCTGCCCAGGTCATACAAGTAGAAATGTGATCTAATCTACTTAGTACATCTTATCTTATTGACATTGGTCACCATCCAATAGTAGAATAGGCATTTTCAAGTTCATAAATCTAGCTCTTATGTACATTCTATGTCAGTATCATTGAAGAGATTGCAAAGTAATACCTGACTTTTACTTCCCAAATAGGTCAAAAAAATAGTAAATTCTCTAGTGTTGCGCACGTCACAAGGACCCCGGGACTCGGCAGCCATGGGCCCATCCATGAGGAAGCCCAAGGACGCCCGCTAAACGCCCACAAAAATGTGGCTGGGGCCCCCCACTTCTCTGTGGGGCGCCCAGCTGCCGCCCAGCCCCCATTCGCCCAATACCATCGAGGTACCTTTTTTGGGCCTCAAAGAGGTACCGCGAGAGATACGAATATGGGGTGGTGTCCATGATGGTTCTGCATGAGCACGATCTCAAACCGAGCTTCTCCCCGGACGACAGTAAGCATCCCGTGTGAAGGTTTTCGTAAACAGACATTGCCAGTGGGGGCGCCGACTGACGCAGGTTGTTGAGAATTTCCCGAAATGAAAATGCAGCGAGCTCTCAACGATTCCAGTGGCAACAGCCACCTTCTACTACTGCGGGATGTCTTCGGAACCTGGTCTGTCCCGTCGAAAACTACCTCGTGGCTGTATGGAACGGTGGTATGTATAAAGGTGAACAGACGGAGGCGTAACAATATACTCAACCACTCCAAACTTCTGACTGGTCTCCCCATGTCTCGACTTGCTTTTTTCTTGACTTTAATTGTCTCTTTCGCATCAGTCTTCGCAGCAGAAATTGCCGAGCGGGGCACGGCCGATCCCTCCTCCGTCCATGCGTGAGTGAATTCATCTACTCATTAATAAGGCGCGTCTAAACTGTGAATTGTGTGTGAGCAGGCTTGGATATGTCCCTTCGGTGAGCCTCCCCCGATTCGAATCTGCTCTTCGAGAAATGAACCATACCATCTCTAGCGACACTTTGCCACCATGGGAATCATCGCGTTCGCGCAATCGGTAGTCGTGTCTCTGATCCACTTCATCTGGGTCCGACCAATCAAGCTCTCTCTGCTTACTTACGTTGTCGGAATGACCGGTATGCTACGGACCCGCGATCGAGTCCAGCCGCCTTTGCTGACGACGGTCAAGCGCTCACCACTGGTTTCCTCCTCCGGGCCATGGACGGGGCCCCGCCTTTCTATCTGTGGAAGTACATCGCCTGGGATCTGGTGCGTCATCTCCACTCTCGCTAGGCAGAACGGATCCAATCTTTGCTAACATCGTTTGCAGTTGATTCTTCTTTCGGTGCCTAGTTTCTCGCACTCATTGCGAAACCAGCATTGACAGCCTGCAGCCCAGCTTCTTTATCGCCACATGCTACTTTCTTCTCGCTCATCTGGGCAATACGTTCAAGCCCGATGTCGTCTCACGGTGTCTTTTCGTCAGCCCCTCAGGCATTATGACGTTCTTTGTCGGGAGCAATCTCGTCAGTTTCCTGCTGGAGGGTGGCGGCGGAGCTTTGACTGTCTCCCAACATGATTCTCTCGCCGCAGCGGGCTCCAAGGTATTTGAGTCCTCCAGCCACAAGAGGATTTCAGTTGTAACTCGATCTCGTAGATTGTCTTGACCGGATTCATTCTCCAGGCGGCCACACTGCTGCTCTTCATCTACCTTCTGACTTCTTTCACTATCCGAATGTATGGCCGCTTTGCATGTCCCTGACTCACTCTCTGATTCACGACGCCAGGTCCAACGACTACCCTCATCTGTGGAAACCCACCAAGGGGGCGCCTTGGAAGATAATGTCTGCTGGGCCGATCGACACCTGGCGCCTGCTGGTCTACATGATCTTCATTGTCTGCGGCGGACTTCTGGTGCGCACGGTCTACCGCGTGGTTGAATTCGCTGGAGGGTACGTCTTGTCCAGCTGGCAGGAAGATTTCCGTGAAAATGACCTGCTCACTGCAGATACAACGGCACCGTTGCCAATAAAGAGCTGTACTTCTACCTCTTCGAAGCGCTGCCGCTCGCCATGACCACGTCGATGTTCATCTCGCTCTGGCCGACACGCTTCCTCCATCGTCAGAGACACCGTTATTCGCTCCCCAGCAGACCGAGCGAGGAAGCGCTGAAACTTCAGCCAGTCACCGCAGTTTGAATTTCGTTCTATGTCTTGCATCGGATCTCCAAATGCCTCGCTTTCTTTCTTCTTCTTATAATCTTGTACTTCACATTTGTTCTCTATACGAACAGAAATGGACCTGGTTCAGAGTATCAGCAATAATGTCATAGTCAGAACACGCCAGAATGGTTCACTCGTTCTGCTGATCTCTCGAAATTCATCCTCTCAACCTGGGCAACTTGAATTTTCCGGGAAACTGCGAGGTTGACGAAGACGACGACTAAAAACTCTGCCCATGCGGTCTGGCAGCTTGCTGTTCACCGACCTTCCATTTGATACTCTCCTTTAAACCATCCACGACGATCAGTAGCGCGGCGCCAATTCGTTTCTGGCAGGCTCGATACGATGAAGGGGGACTCCGCCAGTTGGGCAGCGAGTCCCATGGCCGACCTGGACCGCACTCACACGTTCAATAGTGAGATCTTGATATCTCGTGGGTAATAAGCAGTAAGCAGCGTAGAATTGGAACAACATCAACATCAGGACAGGACGTGCCGTTCAAGAAGGAATAAGATCGCGACAAAATGAGCAATGCACCCTTTCAATTCCCTCGGATTTGTATAGCCATGGGCCACGTCTCAGTACGGCTGGCGCTGAGTGAAGGTGATCTCCGCGTCAATGGGGTTGTAAGTGGTCACCACGTTGTGCAAGAACACATCGCCGCTAGAAGAGCACCGCATGAGAAAAGCAGCGAGGAATTGATGCGGGGCACGCACAGCACGAACGTGTTTCCAGCAACATCAGGCCCGCCGTCCTGCGTCCCGGAGATGCATATTTCCTTGCCATCACTGCCCTTCTGGAGCGGAACTACCTGGTCCCGGGGATCGATCTCGAACCGCTTTCCGTTGATAACGACGTTCAGTACCGCAGCAGTGGCGTTGCACGGAACCACAAAGGACTGCAGCTCCTGATCGAATGCACCAGGGGGAACAAACAGCGCGTTGTAGGCGGCTGCCACGGGAGTCGCGACGTAGTTCACGGTTGTGCCAGAGTCGACGAACGTGTTGTTGCTGCTGGTGGGGATAGACATGCTGCCTGGGAAATCGTAGCCAGTGACGTTGAGGGAGTACCACGCGTATTCGCCGGCACTCGAGTTGGCCGTTGGCACGAGCGACCCCGCCGCGTTGAACAGCCATTGGGTGACTGGCACGGTCGTCTCAACGCCAGTGACAGGGACAGGGACGATCCCCCCGAAAGCAAGCACCCCAAGATTGGCATCAACAGGATCGTTGGTGGCCTGGGCAAGAGTCGGCCGGTTCAGCGAGTTCGAAAAGTCTGCGCGCTGTCAGCTCCTGTCCCGAGTCATTCGCGATGGACACCCACAAGGCTTCTTGACGTTCCCCCGCTGGAACGCAGTCTGGAAGAACGGACTGTACCGCATCTGGACCAGCCCATCGCTTGTGTTGTTGTACACGCTGGTCAAGGACGGGAACGCCAGCCCCAGCACGCCCTCCGAGAAGCCATCGCCCAGGAACGCATTGTGATTGGGCACGCCGATCTCCTGCTGGTGCACACGCACACCGCCGACCGAGACCGTGTCGAATCCAGCGGGCCCGCGCAGCGATTCCCCGGAGCCGTAGCGCACGAAAAACGTCGCGTTCGGGAACACCGTGAACGTGGGGGATGCGCTAGGGTCGAAGGTTGCCGGACCGAAGTCGCACGCACTCGCAGGGATCGATGCGCACGTGAGATTGAAGCAGCTGAAGTTGGTGTGGGCGACCCAGGTGTCTGAGCTGTGCGATGGATGGAGAAATCAGCTCCTATCGGCTGCAGACAGGACATGCCAGACCTTCCGGTGTCGAGGATGACCTGGAACGGCTTTCCGCCGACGGTGATGTTCACGAGGTATTCCTTGTCGAATGCGGCGCCGTCAAGTCGGAGGGCAGATTGAGGCGTCTGCTTGCGCCCTGTCGGAGACGCAAACCGCTTCGAAGCGCGGCGAGGGACATGCCCAGTCACAGGCACGACCACGTCCGCGGCGGGAAGGGCTGAGATGGAGGCGAGGACGCCAGACACCAGGGTGAGGCACACGAAGGCGAATAGCGATTGCATGTTCGATGGGATTTAAGCATTGGCGCTGCCTTTTTATATGTCTTTTGCCGTCGTTGACCTCGGTTATGCATACAGCTGGGCGGAGTAGACATCCCGCCTCGTCGTCAACAGGATAGCCTTTCGACTGTGAGAACACGCGAGCGTCCTGGTTGGGATCTCGGTACGCGGTGCGGAAGCTGTAGAATCCATGCAGATGATGGAGTGGAATCAAAGGCGGGACAAAGTGACACGGTCACCCCTGGTCACTCTCGCCACGAAAGCTGTCGAGGGGCCGTCAAGCTGTTGCGAGCTAACTTTCACGCTCCTGCAAGATGTAGACTCGTCCTCCAACTCTTCGACTCTCCACGGATTTATACGGGCTACGCTTTATCTCGCGTGAATGCTGCTTTTGGCCGAAGCCTGGGTCCAGCACACGTTGCCTTCCCTCTATACTTCCGACTGCACTTGTCGCGCGGGGAACACAACAGTGAATCTACCGGCGGAACCAGAACCCATGTGTCGTGCTCCCTGGGTTAGGGCCTTTTGATCAATCGTACGTTGGTTGTGACTCACTTTTCGTCGAGGGTCTTTGGCCTTTGGCCCTTCGATCACAAAGCTGGCACCTATGAAATTGACCTTCAAAATGCCTTGTGCAATGCTCACTATCACATCTAACACAGCCCACTCCCGGAGCATCAAGCATATTATGACCGGCAAGTCTCCAAGTTATCCAGACTAGACCTGTTCGCCCTCGAGGATCAAGATCTCGTTCTGTCTGCTCTGCAGTCCTTGCTTCTTGTCAGCCAATCCTTGAGAGCGATATTTCACCCTACCGCCTGATCGATCCGGAACGAATGCGTTCACGCCATACAGAACTATCGACGATCTGCTTTCTGAGCTCTGGCCGGCGATTGTTTCTCGCTCTCGGACCATTGATCGCTTCCATCGATAGATTTGGGCGAGCGTCAGCTGATAACACAGTCTCGTAAATTGGATAGATCATCAGCATTGGCCAGCCCACTCACAGCGCCGTCTCCACTCATTCGTGAAGCGCCCGGCCCTCCTCTGTGCCTGCCATCGACGGCACTTGGCGTGCTTTACCGCAGTGTGGCTTGAGAGCCAAAGCGCGTTTGGTCGGCTTTGGCCATCCTGCAATTGTTTAAAAGGCGCTGCCGGTTTCCCCACTCTGTCCCACCACCCACTGCTCCATCTTTCTATACCCTCACGTTCTCGCCTCTTGCTCAAACCTATCGCATCTTCGCCCCTCATACCAACCATCCCTCCACATGAAGCAAGCGCACTCCGTCCGGACTTCGGTCCAGCGCTTCGACCCGATGCGTGCAACTCACTACAAGTAAGTTGCTGGTGGCATCGCCTTGATACTGGACATGGCATTGACCCTGAATCGCAGGGACTATCCGTTTGAGCTCAACAGAGGCCGGAACATCTACAACTAGTACGTGCGATACATTCATCGAAATCATTCTGCTCGGCTCACGATATGGTGCAGTCGCTCTGTTCCAGTGGCACCGCCTACCAAACCTCCTCCCGTCAAGACAGCCATGTTAGTGTCCTTGCCAGACTACTCCGCTCGCTGCTGACCCGCTTCCAAGTGTGGATCCCGAGGCGGTTGAACACAAGGCGCAGAGGGAACGCGTTGATCAGCAGATTCTACCCCTGCCTTCTGTTGCGACCCCTCAAGAGCCCCTTATTGACGACACCGAGTTCAAATCCTCCGACTACGTGCCCGAGATTGATCTCGAGGAGCTCTTCTGCTTCCAGTTCCATTGAGGAGCTCCTATGTCCACTGCACACTTTATTCATATCCACATGCTTGTATCAGATACCATTATATCCATGATTTCATAGCCCAAGGACCTGTCTGACGCTCCTCCATTCGTGGCCTGGCCACAGACCATTCCCGCTCCCAGCTGCTTCGCTCCCGGTGCCCTCACGTTTGTTGATTGGATCCCAGCCCGTACTCCCTGCGCCCGAGTCGAGGAGTCTGAGCAGCAACGTCTTCGTCTCCGCTCCTGGACCCGTGATTTTGCCGACATGCTCGACCGGCGCATGGAACAGCTCGCCGAGCTTGTTCAGCGGCATGCGGTCGCCCTGCAGGCGGATCACTCGGTTCTCCAGTGCTGAAGCGGGTGCGTGCGTTGCTGCATATGCGATGAAACCTGCGATGTCTTCGACGGACGTCGTCGAGATGGGCGTCGTGCCCTTCCCGACGAGTGTCACTTTGCCTGTGTCTGCGTAGCCTGTGATCCAGGGTATAGACTCGATAAAGAGGCCATTCTAAGAGGGCTGAGAGACTGTAGTCTTGGACAGATAGAGACACGCAACGTGGATGATCGTGTATGGGAGGCTCAAGCTCTCAAGTTGTTCTGGCCAAGTTTGCTATTCAATGATCGTCGAAGTGGGAGAAGCAACTGCCACGAACCGATGATCTTGAGTTTCTCCAGAAACATTCCACCAGCTTCGACAGGCGCGGGTATGCCGTACTCACTCGGGACGAAGAGCTTCACCGCAGCGAGCTTCGCAGCTTCCACCAACGGTTTCTGGGAACCCGCGACGTCGGCGGCGACGGTGGACAATACCACGTCGACCCGATGCTCGTCCAATACGTCTACGATCGCGGACACGTCTGTATAATCGGCTTTGACAAGGCAGACCCCCGCAGGCACGGGCTTGTCCGGAGACTCCAGGCGGGAGAGAAGGATGATTTTGATGCGGCCGTCGACTTGGGCTTTCAAGTCGGAGAGGTCGGAAATGACGCGGGAGCCGAGTTTGCCACCTCCTACGACTGCAAATGAGATGTACTCGTTTCTGGTCATGGGAAGAGGATGAGAGGGAGAACGTGCGAAGCGCGTCATAAGACTTGAGCTGCCATCGATAAACTGATGATTAGATCCTGCGACTGATCTCGTGACCGCTCCCTACCCTGCTTAAACGTTTACACATTCATCTCATCGACTCTGGGTCTAGCTCGGTTTGAAACTCTAGCATCGACTCCGTGTTACCCCCGAAATTATTTGCGATGAGCCATATCACCTTCTCGTCTCATAAAAGCTCCCTTGCTTGCGTGTTTGCTGGTCAGCCATGTCTGCGCGATCTTTGTCCATTGTTGCACTTGCACTGGTCAGCCTCTTAACAAACCACCGTGTACGCGACTTACTGGTGCCTTGCTCGATAGACGAACCATATCTACTTTCACAGACACGAGCCTCGTCATGCCACACGCCCCATTGTTGCCCTCATTCTCCTCCAGCCTTTCGTACTCTGTTTGCTGGTCGGACATCGGACATACCTTTCCATCCTCTACTGCTTTACTCTGTTTTTCGTGGCTCTTGGCTCCTCGATTGTGCTATACCGTTTGTCGCCATGGCATCCACTCGCCGCTTTCCCTGGACCGACGTTCGGAAAGTCCACCAAGCTGTGGGGGGCATGGGTCGCATGGAGAGGGAAGCAACATCTCTATTTGAGGGCGATGCATGACCGGTACGGTCTCTACGTAAGGACGGGTGCGTGTTCTCGTGCAACAGCTTGCGCACGGTCTTTATCGTAGACAGGCCCCAACGAGCTATCCATCGCCGATGCCTCCGTTACGGATCGTGTTATCGGGTTCAAGGGGCTCCCCAAAGGCCGCTGTGCGTGTCTCGCATCCGTCTGTCCGTCCACCACTCAGCCCCCGCAGTTTACGAAACCGGCCGCAATCCCCCGCACCTTTTCAATCTCACGGGCGAAGCGCACACCGCGAAACGCCAGATGTGGAACCGTGCCATGATGAGCGTCGAAGCATTCCAGAACTTCGAGTCATTTATCGGGAGAAGAGCGACCAATCTGGTCGGCGTGCTGGGGAGGTTGTATGAACGCGAGGGGGGAGAAGTGGACCTCGTGAAGTGGTTCGAGCTCTTTGCGTAAGTGGAATCTTTCTGCTGACGACACATGCTAACGGGCAAACAGACTGGACACGATTACCGATATTGCGTTAGTCGTCCTATCTGCTCGTAGGACATCGCTCATAGCATGAAGTTTCGGTGAAGGTTTCGACGTGTTGCAGCAGGGCATGGATCCTGAAGGTGTGCTGGCTCGTATCCGGGCCTCCAAGTTGTGAGTGCTGCTTATCAACTAGGATGTGCGTCTTAAAAAGGAGTGAATAGTCGAAGAAACTGGCTAGGTCACATTCCCTGGGCTATGCGACTGTTGTCGTCTGATATCGAGCCGTTTACCGAATCTTTGCTGACTCAAAGAACGGCAAAGGAGACAATCTGGGCCAAGGACTTTCTGCATTATCTGGTCAGTTTCATAGTGGCTCTTTTGATCGCCATATTCTAACTCATCTAGACCGAGATCGAAGCTGTCGATGGGGAATCCGTGATCATGGCGGGTGCTGATACTATCGCTGCCACACTGAGCAGCTTTTTCTGGTTCCTGTTGTGCAATCCGGAATGCTACAGCCGACTCCAGAAAGAGATTCTGGATGTATACAAGACGGAAGTTGTTTATAACACCAGCAGGCATCCCCAGCTGCATTACTTGGCAGCGTGCTTGTGCGTGGATTCTCTCCTCCGTCCCGTCGCTTTCTGATTGCGGGGAAGAAACGAAACTCTGCGACTTCATCCACCGGTCTTGACGAATGGAACGAGAACGGGCGGCAAAGTTGTCGGGGGAAAGTCCATCCCGCCTGACACCAACATCTGCATACCCCCGTACGCTATGCACCGACGGCCCGAGTGCTTTTCTCCTCAGACAGAGGAGTTCAATCCCGACCGGTGGTTACCGGCAGAAGCACACAGATTCACGCACGATCTCGCTGGGTTTATCCCGTTCTCGATTGGGCCCGCTGGGTGTGCCGGTCAACGATTGGCACGAATGGAGTTGACGATGACCGTGTGCTTACTGATGAAAGTGTTCCGGTTTGAGAAGATGGCTGGTGTGAATTACGAGTCGTGGCCGGCAGGGATCCGAGATGAGTTGGTGGCTACGCGGGATCCGTTGTGGGTGAAGATAACACTTCGTCGTTGATGCGTTCGATTGCCGTCTCGTGTCTCCTGCGTACCTCATCCCACTCCAAGCCCATCCATGTTTCCAATTCTAGATCCTGTAGGCCCAATTGTATCCATGCTTGCAACCGGCTCTCTGTAACGGCTTGGAAACCACCAGAGTCTGAGTCTAAAGCCAAGGCTCTTAGCATTATTTCTGCCACAATCGCGTGTCGAAGAATCTTGAGCCCGTTCCGCCTATCTTTGCGCCAGAACTTGGCAGCCTTTTCCATGTCTTTAACTCTCCTCCCTTCTACCCATTCACGCATCTTGATCATATCCGGTGTGTACGTGGGCCGCTGCGCAGGCTCGACCAATACAGACTCCTCGACCAGGCAGCACACCGACTCGACGAGACTTCCCTCGCGCACCCGTGCCGCGAATGCGGACTCGGAGAGAATGGTGACGTCGTATCGGGCTCTGTGGTAGCTCGTTTGCGGTGCAGGACCGTCCGTGTCCGCGACGACGATGAGAAGATCGAAGTCGCTGGTGGGAGTCTGGGTGCCCCAGAGACGCGATCCGATCAGGAAAGCGCTGTGAACAGGATGTGTGACGTGGAAGGATTCGAGCAGAGAGTGGATGGTATGCGATGTAGGTGAGACCATGGCTGCATGTGTGACGCGCTGATGAGATGTCTAGTCAAGACCAATAACCCATCATTACCCTCCATTTGACGCGTGACGTCATATCATGGTCACCCTCCCACCTCTGTCCTCAAATTTGACTCCACGGTGTTAAGCAATCGACAGAATGCCGATCATCCTTCCAAGACACACTTTCATTCTACCACAATCATGGCGCCGCCCTCGCTGCGCCTCCTCAATCCCATGACCGCCGTGAAGGCGATATGGCGGATATGCTACATCTTCGTGCAGTACTTCGTCATTGCCCTATACAAGCCCCCTGCGCCCAAGACGGATGGTCCACTGAAGAGCCCTTCTGGACGCATTGCTGTCATCGGCGCCGGACTCACTGGCGTCTCATCCGCTGCGTGCGTTTATCCCATCCACTCACCTCACCCTGCTGACGATTTTCCAGCCATTGTATTGCCCACAACTTTGAAGTCACCCTCTTCGAAGCCGGCCCGCGCTCGAGCTTGGGCGGCATCTGGTCGCACGTCAATTCGACAAGCGGGCTGCAGCTTAACTCGCATCTGTATCGTTTCCACCCTGCTGTGCTTTGGAGGAACGCCTTTCCTTCGAGGGACGAGATTCTCGGCGGTGCGTCACGCCTTTTACACGAGTGGTATGGTATGACTGAATTGGCCTCAGAGGTGAGAAGGATTTGGCACGAGTACAAGTTGGAGAGCCGCACTCGTTTTGAGGTATGTCTGGCTCTTCTTTCTCCATCGCTCCGACTAATCGTGGTTCCAGACGCGTGTCACATCTGTCCGACGTGCTGATGCAAAGTCATCATTGGGACATCGTCAATGGATTATCAACGACGACAGTGAAACACTGTATGACGCAGTCATCGCTACAGTTGGAACGTGCGGCAAGCCAAAATGGATCCACATCGATGGGATGCCCAAATCGGACAAGGGTGCGTTAGTTGCTCACCTCAGGTTGTCGTCGGCTTCGTTCCATGTTTTTCATGACGCCATAGGATCTGGCTCCGACTCAGGCCATGGGAATGATGCGCAAGAGAATGGCGTATTCACCAAACCTATCATTCATTCTTCGGAACTCGATTCCGAATCTATATCAGAGGAAACGATCAAAGGTATCCTATCCTCGCATTTCTCTCAAATGCGTGCTCATATCTACTTGCTGTTCAGGTAAACGAGTCGTCGTAATCGGCAGCGGAGCTAGTGGGGTCGAGGCTGTCGAGACCGCACTTCAGAGGGGTGCGGGAGAGACAGTCATACTGGCCCGCACGGATAAGGTCAGTATCTTATCTTGGGCGACAATCACTCTGACTATTTAATAGTGGATCATCCCTCGCAACATTTTCTTCGATACGTTTGTCGCATGCCAACCTTTTGGCCGGGAGATGCCATTGAGGCATGTGATCCATTTTGACTGGAGAGCCGTTGTTGAGATGAGACCAGCTTTTTGTGGGAACGATTCCTGAAATTCACACATTACCGTGGAGTGAAGGAGCTGATTCCTTGGAAGACGGGTCTGTTCGAAGGCACGCCCGTGAGCATTCAATCAGCCATCTGTGTGCTTGTCTGATTACATGCAGATCGTCAACGACGCTTTCATGAAGCACGTGCGAGACGGGTCATGCAAATATGTCCGTGGGGATACGATCAAGCTGACACCTTCGGGAGTGCATGCCACGGTACGAGGGAGGGAATCGAAACCTGGTGATGATGGCAAAGAAGAGGTTAACAATCTTTTTTCAATCTTGTTCTGTGTACTGAATGAATTGGCAGATAATCGATGCGGATGTGATCGTTCTTGCGACTGGATTCGAGAAACCTAGCATCGACTTTTTGGATAACTCTTTATTTCCTGACGGTTACGAGGTGTGTTTGTTCCTGCAGTTTCAGCATTGCACACATAACTGGGGTTTTTAGCGCCCCAATCTCTATCTGCAAAACTTTTCGACGGAGGATTGGTCTGTGCTGATGACCAACTCGTCTTACATGAACGCTATTGGAACTGTGTATGTTTCTTCCCTCTTGACATACACACCAACTGATGGTTTCCATTCGACAGTGGACACTTGTGAGTACCATGCAATTGGTTCCCGCTTTTGGTCAGCGTTAACATCGGGTTTGTGTGCGCAGCCACATAGGAATCTGTACGACCAATCAACCCGTCTCGCGTGTCTAAACTCAACTGTCTTCAGATACTCGCATTCTGCTCACCTTCCTTATGGACGAGGGATCCCGCCCTGAGATCCAAGACATGAAGCTGTGGGTCGATGTGGTCCGATTCCTGAAACGAGGAGCCAAAGGCGGGGCGCTCGGGTTCTTCACTTATGCAGAGCTGAGTGTGTTTTTCTTTCTTTCAATTGAGACGAATTTGACCCTGACGCAACTCACACAGCGATCTGGCTGCTCTTATTTCATCTTCTCCGGTTGGACCGGTTGCGCTGGTATGTCGATCTCATTGGAAGCGTTGATCTCACCTCACCAAGAGCTGCAGGTTGTTTTTCATCATGTGTGGATGGGGAGTGTATCTGAAAGATGGACAACGGGAGAATGCAGTCGAGAAAGTGGTTGAAACGGCACACGTCTCGAAAATTAGAAAGGAGACCGACCATTAGATCGTATTATCACCGCGCCAACCATACGTTGAAACGATGAATCTCAAGATCATGGGCGTTCCTTAGCTGCTGCACGCAAGGTTTATGCGACAGGAGCGCACCCAAGAACCGGGTCACATGAGGATAAATCACGATCACGTGAAAAATCGAACCGTGAGAACGCATCTCCTCTCTTGGACAATTTCATCACCAACAATCTCCCTATATACGCCGCAGAAGAAACCCACAGAATTTCGATGATATATTTCGACAAATTTCAAAATGATTTTATCAGTCCGATGCAACTGAGCGGCCATTGAATTGAATAAACTACGACCTCTTGGTCAACTGCAGTTGTAGCGGTATTTCTGCAGCCGTAATGAAGATATCATGGAGATGATCGCTCCACTCCCCAGCCGCCGCAAAATCCTTGCCGAAGCTGATATCGAACGTCTGGATGAGCGCCGCGCTGACCATGATGAGCTCCCGGCGCGCGAGATTCTGCCCGACGCAGTTCGCGGAGCCGAACGAGAACGGGATGAACGCGAGGGTGTCGTGCCGCTCCATGGCGCCGGGGTTGAGCCAGCGCTCGGGCCGGAACGAGTCGGGGTCGCTGAAGTACTCGGCGGAGCGGTGGAGGGTGTAGTGCGGGACGAAGATCTGCGTGTTCTGCGGGATGTAGCTGGGCGGATGGGGGTTAGATGACAAGACTCGGGTGGGTGGGGACGAGAAGGGGGTGGAGGAATACGCACTGCCCGCCGATGACCTTTCCGCCGCCCACGGGCACTTTCCGGGCGCCCCCAGTCGGGACGGGCGGGAGATACCGGAATGTCTCGTTTCTGCGGGTGTGTGTGTGAGTGTGATTGGGATGGGATCAGTCATTCGAGTCGACGACTGACATGCATGCCGTGAGATACGGCAGCTGGGTGTATCTGGAGCTGTCGAGGGCCGAATCGCCGGGCGGATACACGCTGTCGACCTCCTCTTGGACGCGCTTGTAGACCGCCGGGTGAGACAACAGGAGCCAGATGAAGCTAGCGTCCCGCGTCGGTGAGCGTGAACAGGACATTTATACGATGCGTACTTGTTCATCGTTGTGGAAGTCGTGTCAGAGCCTGCGACGATGCTCAGCACACCGTCCGCGACAACTTCGGGGATGGTCGGGCGCGTCTTCTCCACCTCGGCTTCGTCCGTCTAGTCGATCGAGATGAGTGACTCTCGTCGGCACCTGAGGATATATCGCCAAGTGACCCACCAGATGGTACCACAGATCTTTCACAGCCGAGCCGGCTTTGATGCGCTTAGCAGCCGAGGTGACTCCGAATTCACGGAGAGTCGTGATATTCTGGACGAGAGCGGGAAACAGGCGCAAGGTGGGCAAGATCCAGGGAATCGGAGAGAGATAGGCAGCGAGACTGGGATCAAGGTAAAGGAGGTGAAACGATCGCGCGGGTGCCGTCAGATCACATACCGAGAACCGTCTTCAATAATTTTCCAGAGCCCTTCCCTGTCTCCGCCATCTCGGAGCATTTCGAATCCTCCGCCGAACCTGAAGCGGTGCTGAGTAATTTATGGCAGGCCGGGTCTCAAAAAGACGCACGCCATGTCCCCCATGAAGTCGAATCTGCAATGCCTTAGTCAGTTTATAGATGAAAATCTATAATGCCGCCCGCACGTGAAATAGCCCATCCACTTCGAGAAGTTGACGGATTGCCCGGACCGCGACTCCTCTTCCAGCCGCTCCAGCAGCTGCGAGACACGCTTCCCCATGGTGACCTCGTAGCTCGCAATCGCGGCTGAATTCAGCCCGCGGTTCCAAATCCGTCTGCGGTTCGCGTGGGCCTCGCCCCTCAGCAGGATGAGCGACTTTGTGGGAAGGTTCGGATCCCCGCGTGTGTCGTAATCTGCAACGCATGAGATCCGGGCGGGGCGTAATTACGGCGGCCGCTGAGCAAGCAAGCAAGCAGACAAGCGCGCGCAAGACAGACGTGCTTACGTTGGCCCTTGGGGAACGTCCCGAGGACGACTTTCACCGCGTCCGTGTGCGCAAACGACACCTCGTTCGGACCTGCCCGTCAGTCGCATTCAGATGCAGCACGCGCAGGAAAGACGGCCGGGACGCACCCGTACGCACGACCGGCCCGTACTTGAGGTGCATGCCGCGCGTCACCCGGTGCATGTCGCCCCGCAGGACATCGCGCAGGCCCCAGAGCTTGGTGATCTTGTAGAGGAGCGGCCCGGGGATCGCGGCGAGCGGGTGCCAGGGCGAGAGCCGGTAGAGGACGATGGAGAGCGCCAGAGTCCCGATGAAAGTCGCATACGCGGTCAGCACTGCGGATGCCGAGAGGGTGTCGAAGGAGAGGATGATCGCGGGCTGGATCAGGATCGCGAAAAGAGGGTAGTGGGCAGTCTTTGGCTCGAAGTGCCGGAAAAAAATGTGGTTGGCCTGTCCATTCCATGAAAAATGAGAAGCGGTGAAAGTGAAATGAAAAAGCAGACTGACCACACCGAGCAAGGCGGCCACGCGCCAGAGTGTCATTGGAGTGTGATTTCGCAGGATGCGTGTGATCCAGGGGCGAGTGTGGCCCGCACTTATATATGTGCGTCCTGCGTGTCAGATCGAAGCATGTCACAAAACATTCAGGTCTGTGCACTGATGCTCACGCTCAGCAAGTGCGATTCGGCGAGAAGCAGTCCATGCAGGCCTGCCAAACATAGACGCCTCGAACGACAGCTGATTACCGAGTGTTTCGTGACCAACGATCCTCGGCCGCTTCACCTTTAGCACACGGCTCGGATGGCACATGGTCTATGAGATGCAGTAGCCTAGTATATGAAGAGCGTAAGTACAACCCAGAACTCGAGGTCACGCCTCACCGGAGTTAGCACTCTCGGAAAATTTGAGAGAGATAATCGGAATCGCTCACCCGATACTTCTGATCGGATATTTCTGTGTCACGAATGACCTACACACACCCTTCTTCTTGGATTGTGGTTTGAGTCTTGCGCGGATCATGATGGGTACTGCCAAAATCACTGTCATCAATGTTTGCACCTTTGTGGTCTGGGCCGGCTCTATGTGGCCATCCCTCACGGTCACACACAGGGCACCTTGCTCTCGATTCTGACAACAAAGTAAGATGGCGAATGTTTGCATCTTGTGTTATCACTTATCTCAAACTTGAACGTTATTCTTCAAGTTCAAGTCGCTGTTAGTCGGGCCTCAGCCGAGCCACTTTGGCGCTTGATGAGACTGGCGCTCGTTCTTGATTGGGCGAGTTTGATAATAATGCGCGTCTTTTCTCGGCAAAGGACTCCCTGTTCTGAACCGTCAGCTTTCTCGAAAGCATGGACGATGCTGAGTGTTGATTCCAAGAGAGGAAGCGGCGTCGCCGGCTTCACTCGGACCCGCCTCATTCATTTGCCCGTGTCCTTTCGACGTCAACGAGGGCATGCTTGATTGCCACCGTCGGCGAACCATTAGATGTCAGGCGAGAACGAAGAGCATGATCAAAAGCTTTCTGCACTCATTCGTAGACGATGCGAATTCCGAGTAACAAGCCGAGTCAAGACAGTCCGTTGAATAATCAGGTCAAGCTGCCCGCGGATAAATACCATCTGATGATCGCTCGCGTGCCCAATGTGAAGCCGCCCGGCACTTATTAGTCACGAAACGGTCGAGAACCAGCATGTCATTCCGGGCCTCTAAAATAGACGAAGGAAGGAAGGGAAACTTGGGAGGAGCCGTGCGATCGCCCGTGCTCTGGCGGAGCTGTCTCGGCTGCGCGTGCGGCGGCATGCTGACTGCACAACCGCGGCGCCGCCTCACGCCGAGGTGAATCCCTGCGGCTTGAGCTCCTGCGCGCTGGGTCCGCCGCGGAGGGACTGCTGCCCGCGCGCGTTGAGGAAGCGCGTCGGCCAGAGCGTGATGAAGAGCGAGGTCGTCATGGCGAGGGGCACCGCGTCGAAGATGTAGAAGAACAGCTCGCGCGTGGCAACGGCGCTGTTGTATCTAAAATAGCCGGTCTCAGCCTGCGAGACATCGCCTGGCCAGCGCGGAAAAAGACGACGCACCCGGCACCGAATTCAGCGACGCGGTAGATCGAGCGCACCGTCAGTCCGACGGAGGTGAACGCGATCATGTAGACCAGCAGGCGCCAGTTCTCGATCGGCCGCGCAGACAGCAGCTTGAGCGGCTCCATGTTGTCGGGTTTCCAGACTTGCGGGTAGTGGTTGGCACTGGAAAAAAAAGAAGTCAGAGAGATGTAGTCAGGGGCACACGGAGATAGCGGACGTACACTCGCGAAGCAAAAGTAATTAAAGTGTAAGTAAAGAATACGAGCTCAAGGGCTTGGAAGATGAATCCGACCATGGCGATCTGCGAGGGCAAGTCAGCGTTGGATTCTGTGGTTGCATGGCCGACCGAAGAATACCTTGGAGCCCACTTTGGCAAGAGAGTCATTCTGAGACACAGTCAACCCTCCTCCGGCGCCTAGCAGCATGATGTTGAGGAGTTCGCCACCGACAAAAATCGGGAGGACGCGCGACGGGCTGATGACAAGGCACCGATAGAGGACGTCGGTGTCGAATGTCTTGATGAGATGACCAAAGAGAAAGGAGTCCGTTAAGACAAAGAGGCAGGGCTGCGTAATTTCAGCACTGGATTCAAAGCGAATGGAGAAGTATGTACTCCGAGAAGAAGCAACTGTAAGGCTCGTCAGCACGGATTGTCCTGCACTTCGATGTTGAAAACGACTCACCATATCCCAGGCGATGAACTTCCACAGCTGGAACGGCGCGGAATGATCCAACGACCGCAGCACGAAACCAGCAGACATAGCTGCCCCAAAATATCAGCCCCGTCCTCTCGAGCTCAGATCTAGAGCGTACCGAGCATTCCGAGGGTGTAGTTGAGCATGAACGGTTTATACGGCCGGACCCAGAAGAAGTGAATCAAGGACACGACTGCAGACTGCACGAAAACGACGAGCGCCATGGAGGCAACGGTCCGCTAGAGACACGGTTCATCGTCTGAAGAGCAGTGTTGAATGGGAGGGGGCTCACCGAAGGCGCATGGCCGCCGCTACATCATATATGGAAAGATTAGCCGAGTCCAATCAACGAATCAATGAATCAGTATACGCACACATGAACAGAAGTATCAGTCGTGTCCCGCTGAACAACTTCTGCCGCAAAACCCGATGCAAGGCAGGCGGCGAACGTCAAGAAACGAGCAAGTCGAGACATGAGAAGGTAAATGGGTTTACAGTGGTAGAAGATGCTGGAAGTCTCTCATCCCCGCATCTTTATACATACCATTGCATCTGACGACGAGGTGTTTTGGGGCGGTGGAGACGAGGTGCGGAGGACCCGCCGCAGTAAACAGGTGGTCGCTGCAAATGTTGACAGCTCGCTGGATTTCCATTTCGGGAAATAATCGCAGTTCGCGTCACTCTCCGGCCCGCCCGCAGCGTGTTTTACGAGAGGTATTACAAGGTATGCTTACACTTTGCTGAGGAGATGTTCCGCCCACCAAGGTAGTAGTGTCTCTACCTGATTCTTTGAAGTGATCATATCGCAACTGATATTAAGGACTACATGCTACTGACCTACTGACTACAGGCTACATGAACAGGGCTACAAAACGAGAGTATGTGTGAGTGGTAAAAGACAGGTGTGCAATTAGGAATTGATAAAAGAGTGTAGGGCGGAGTAATCGATGTCGGCGTCAGTCAGCTCCGGGAACATGCCCCAGTCCAAACTCAGGCCAGGCACTGCCGTCGACGCGCTGGGCATCGCCTGGGCATCTGCGTCCCAGCCGGAAGTGCCGTCGTAGTTTTCCACCGGGAGATTCAATCTGGGCAGACTCGACTGTGAGTGGTCGTCGTTCTCGTCCTGCGGGCCCAAGATAGACTCGGGCATGTCTTCCTCCGGGTTCGCGGAGACATCTTCCATCATGTCAGTCAGAGCCGGGTCCCAAACTCCCCCGTCGACGAGCTTCTGGGGACTGGGTGTGGGTTTTGCTCGGCGACTTCCGGCACTTCTGGGGGACGGACTGTTGATGATGTTTCCGAACACAGCATGTGTCGGCGTGACTGGTTGAGTGACAGCGGACGGGATCTCAACGAGGTGGGTTCTGTGGTCCCGTCAGAACACCGAGCAGCATGGAAAGAAAACAACGCACTGTTGAGCCGCCTTCTGCTGCTGATTGACCCCAGTTTGAGTGGCCGACGGCGTGCTACACACCGGCGATTAGCCTTGAGAGGTGGATGATAAGAGACGGACATACGCGGGCGGAGTTCTGTTCCATCCGATCAGCGACGAGCCAAACTGCGTCACGGCTCGAGGCTGGCCGGGCGCCAGCTGTGGCCAAGCCGCGATCTTGTCCTGTTCCCACTGCCGCTCTGCTTCCTCGTGCTCACGCAGACGGCGCTCCTGCTCTGCTTCCTCGTGCTCGCGCAGACGGCGCTCCTGCTCTGCTTTCTCGCGCGCGGCCTGCTCCTGCATCTGGACCTGCGTCGCGCGATGCCACTGCGCATACTGAGCTTGGAACGAGTACATCTTTCGCACCATCTCGGGCGTGATTTCGATCGGCTGATGCGGGGTGACACTTGCGGAGGAGGCAGCGGGGGCGACAGAGTTCGAAGCCGAGGCCGCTTGGGCTGGCGCTGCAGGGGCGCGAGCTCGGCGTTTTGGGATGTGAGGTGTTTCAATTCGGAAGGTGAATTGGCCCGAAGGAAGGGAGGGTTGGCTGGGAATAGCAAATGAGTGTGCGGTGGGTGTTTTTACAGATCCAGCTGAAGGGGGTTGCGACGTCGCTGCTGTGGCCTTGGGCTTCCTCGGCCGGCGAGCGGCAGCTCCTGCACGCGCAGTGACGGTTTTTGTTGTGTTCGCAATAGGCGCCACCGGGGCGCTAGCGATGTTCTGATGCGCAGGGGTGGACATGATTCCTCAATACAAGTCGTCGAGCTATCAAAGCACGGTCTTTCGTTTATGAGTTGAAGGAAGAGGATCTGCGCAAGCAGAAAAAGGTGCTGTCGACGCAGGACTCGTCCTACTTATAATCGGCTGGAAACTGACCCACCTAATGCGTCGAACAATGGCCAAGGTGGGGTGCGCGTAATCTGATCTTATCCAAAGCCTCACAGCTCGCTTAGCGGTTCCATGGATGCTTCTCTGGACCTACGAAGATCAATCAACATAAGCCATTGGTCGGGGAGACAATGTATTCTCACGATCCACTTTTGGTTTCCAACACAACGCTTTTTGGGCTACATGTCACAGCCAAGGACACGTGGGCATGATCATACCTGGTTTGCTCGCCCACACGACGAGCTATCTTTATCCGAAAGCAAAGGCCAGGGCTACAATCTGGATAGTTGAGCGTCAGATTCGTTCAGATGACCTCAAGACTGACTTGCCCATTAGACCGTCCTCTGCCCTCTATGGGGCGGTTTCAACCATGTCTTCTGCAGGTATCCGAGGGCGGCCGACTATACTGGACACAGCCATAAGTCTTGTGCGTAGGAGATACCCTCGATCGAGCCATCAACTCCAGCAGTTTCCGCCGAAGTGAGGATGGTAAAAAGCTTTCTTGTTTCATTGGAGGTGTCCGGAGTGTCTGAGCAGGCGAATGGAACCACGCTATTTGAAGCTGCGACCAAATAAATGCCGCTCCGAGTCCTACTTGGGGGATCATCATGAGAGCTCAGGATGTTGCGCCGGATTCCGGCTGAGAACAAGTGTTCGATGAGAGCATCAGAGGTTGTTTCCCAATCTTGGCGGTGCTGTCGCATCGTTGGCCAACGGTTGAGGCGTAGTGGGACGAGAGCGACGGATTCAAGTTATGGGATTGTGACGGGTGCCTTCAGATCACTGATCTTTTCCTGCCATCACCGCCCACTGCAATTTTCCTGCTTTCGGTCCCTGCTCAAGACCAAGAAAGGAACCCTGCACTCTCAAAACACCTCGCGAATTGACTCAGAGTCTTGACGTCCGCTCTCGCAAACTCCCACAGCGACTCAATGCTTCATCGCTGTTCCGATCGCTTGTTGTGACCAGATTGAAGATCAAGCCAAACGGGCCAACCTGTGAGTTGTGCACGAGGACGACGCATGAGGACTTGAAAGCACAGCAGTTCGTAGAGGAAGGGGTCTGTCGCAGCTCAGCTGCAATGGCAATATTGACGGAAAAGGAAGTTCGGTGACACTGAGCCACTTCCAGAAGGCGAATGGAATAGCAGAGTATCTGGACACGATGATCTATGTGTCGCCCTCAGCTCGTTGCACCTTCCGACCTTCATGTCCTGCTAGCAATCATGAATTTCAGGAAGGGCCAGCAGGGAGAGTACCATCCCGAGGGAACCTTCGCAGCGCGGGGAAGACGGGTCATCATCCAGGGGACTTCAGACTGATCATCGTGCATAACATAGTCCGCCTACCTGGAGAAGATTGAGCTAGATCCTACCGATATTGCCAACGAAAGTGTGGGCGATCTTTTGCGGTATCTCTTCGATGTCGTCGAAATTGGGGCCGCAGAAGACTGAACGCAATACGCCAGCTGCTACTACCAGGAATGGATGACGAGGGTAAGCACATCCTTCTTGAGAATGTCCGAAACGTCATCTGTCCAAGTGGCCGGATGTAAGGGAACACAGACAGGCTGTTTGGCTACGATTTGGCCTCACCGCCCGAAAAGGCATCTCATACTTATCACCATCATGAGCCACACCATCAAAGGCCTCACCGCGTCTCCAGTCAAGTACGACGGCTCTACGTTGCGCGTCTGCATCGTCCATGCACGCTGGAACACGGCAGTCATCGACGCCCTCCTCGCTGGCGCGATCTCCAAGCTCAAGGAGAGCGGTGTGAAGGAGAGCAACATCATCGTCCAATCCGTCCCCGGAAGCTTCGAACTTCCGTTAGCTTGCTCCCGGTCTGTATATGATCGCTCTTTTGTCACCCAGCTCTTTCATACCGACCCTGCAGTGTAATCGCCGGATCGCACGTCCAAGCCGCGTCGAATGTGACGGATCTGCTGAGCGGACTGTCGATGGGAAGCCCCCAGTTGTCGCGCAGCGGCACACCTGCACCAGCCGGTGTCGTGACCATGCCCAACGAGCCGTTTGACGCCGTGATTGCCATTGGGGTGCTCATCAAAGGTATGCGACCTAGCGCAGCTCTAGAATTCATGCCTGACGACCGTGCTTACGAACATGAAGGCTCGACGATGCACTTCGAATACATCTGCGACGCGGTCTCGCACGCGCTGATGAAAGTCCAGCTAGACACCGGCGTGCCAGTCATCTTTGGTGTGCTCACGGCGCTGACGGACGAGCAAGCGCTTCAGCGCGCGGGTCTTGCCCCCGGCAGTCACAATCACGGCGAAGATTGGGGCCTAGCCGCAGTCGAGATGGGATCGCACGTACGTCGCTGGAAGGAGGGGAAGTTCACGTAGAAGAAGAGAAGTCCAACACAACAACAAGAAGTGTACAGGTAACTACATACAACACGCAGTTATTTATCAACAGTGACGTTCTCGCCGATGTATCCATTCGATCCCCATGCGATCGCAGAGATGGGCGAGTTCGTCGACTTGGCCTGGGGCAGCCGGCCGACCTCGAGCGGCACTATTCGCTCGCAGCTCGCCAATCATTTCGAGTTTCTTGAGCACATCTTTCAATGGGAAATGGTCACGTCTCAGCCACGCGCCGACGACCGGGACTGGAAGTGCAATCACCGAGAGTCTTGAGACTCGAAGATGTTCGATGCGGGACGGAAGCTTGTCGAGAATGGACGGCGTAACCGGAACACCGTTCAGACTGAGTATCTTGAGCCGATGGAGACTAGCGATCGTAGAATCCTCCCAATGCCGAGGCCGGCCCTCTTGTGAATGGTAGTCGGTGATGGTAAGAAGCTCGAGAGTGTTCGCGAGCAGATCCAAGCACTTCTTTAGCTGGCCTCGGCGCATGGGAGCCAAGCCATCAAGAACTAGCTCTCTCAAGCCGGACATGCTACGGAAGAGTGCCGAGAGACCATCGCAAACGACAGGCTTGTTGATATTCGAGATCGATAGGCCGGTGCATAGAGACGACCGGGCGGGAAGAGCGAATGCGATGTCTTCTGCGCCTTCTCCGCCGATGGACAGCTCGGAGATGTCCAATTCCTTCAGACATGGGAACGCAACGATGTTCTTCAGCCATCCGCGCTGCAAACTACCCATGCAGTTTTCGCATTGTCTGCACCCGGTCAGATGGACTTCCGTGAGCTTCACCGTCGGGGGTGACTGCACAGACAGCGCCCAGACCATGTCACCGCCATACAGTCTGACAATTGTGAGTTGTGGGCATGCCTCGAGAAACCAGCGAAACGCTGTAGCGCTCAGTGACCGGGGCTCCCACGCAGCGGTGACACTGAAGTGCGTCTGATACCCGTCGAGCAACCTTGTTTGGCTGCAAGTTGAGTAGAGGTCGGCGCTTCTCACGAACTTGGCGAGGTGCGGGCAGAAGCGCAGTTGGCCGGTGAGCAGCAGGAACCGTTCGACTCCTTCGACGTGTAAATCACGGTACAGATTGCGTCGGACAGGATTCACGAATGCGCGGCACACAAGCGCGAGTGCGAGGAAGTTCTTGTGTCGTGGTGAGTTGCTTTACACGCGAGCGAGATGCCTGCGGTACGGTACCTTAGGCAGCCTCGTGTCATCCCAAACCCCGTCGTCGTCCACTTTGTCGAGGAAGAGCCCATCTACAATGTTGTCGATCACATCCTCAAAGGCCAGGAACGGCATTGGAGAGGAGGATAGAGAGAGCGAGTTTGTTATCTTCCTACGTACATGGCAGTTCCGAAGATGGCTGTACCTGGAAACGTGGGCATGGTCCCGTGCCAGGACGCACGAACTTTCACAGGCAATTATGCAAGCTTAATTTAGAATCCCCGGTCGGCGCAGTGGACTCTGAATATCGTCATGAAGGGTCGACGACCGTTGGCGGCCCGTGCGTAGATAGTCGTGTCATCAAAAACCAATCAATAGAAGCGCAAAGCGCATGTCTTAACGGACTGATCTTGCACAGTACAGCAGATTAGATTGGAAGACGATATTGAGCAATAATATACATGTTGGCGCTCGCAAGGGACATGGGGATAGATGAGATGAAGCCAGTGATCGGATATCATGCCTGGGCTTGTAACTGCTCAAACTTGCGGCGAGCCATTCGGACATTGAGCTTCAAAGCGGCAGTTTCTACTGGAATGAGAACGAGAAGCCGGCAAAGGAGGAGGGTGACACACCTATAGAAGGATCGTGCACGATAATGAGGACATATGTGTTCTTGGTCATCTCATCCAGCACCGCGGTAAACTCTGGAAGCTCCATTTCCAGGGTGTGAAACTCGTCTCGAACGCGAGAACACGAGTACTTGAACTGCTTGATGATTTCGGATGTCCGCTCGTATCTCGTGCCCTCTAGCCCTCTAGAATCGAATTCTGGGGAGCCCGAGGTGATTGCTGAGGTCGCAATCACTAGGAAGGTGGTTCGCTCGAAAAGGATGACTTCCGTCGCACTGCATGCCTCCGCGAAGATGTTGAGATGTTTTGTGAGTACGGCTGCGTTGGGAATCAGAGTATGGACGATGCTCGACCAGGCCTTGTCGACAGTGAGCTGCTGAATGAGCTGTACTCTGTAGGACACACCCGATATAAACTCTCGTCGTAGATGCTCGTTCCAAAGACAGTGACAGTCTCCACATCTGACTGCGTCGGTCCCTTCTCACTCTGCGCTAGTAACTCTTTCTTCTTCCGTTCGAATGTCGCGTCCCGATCCCGAACAAGGTCCATTTTGTGCACAAGAAGGAAGACGGCCGCCTCTGGGCTGTATGTACGCAGAGAGTCCAAGCAGTCCCGGTAGTATTCCATGATGTTGTTGTTTTCTTGCCCCTCGATGTCGAAGACGTAGATGAGCACACCGACATGCTGGAAGATGGTCGACTTTTGCGTGGTGAGGTACGAGTCCATGAACGAATCTTGACCACCGCAATCCCAGAGATTGAGAATGAGATCGCCGAGGAAGCGAACATGGTTCTGCTCGACATCGATAGTGGCGCCTAGACGCGAGGTGAGGGACGCGGGGTTGTTGGAGCTGTCGCAAAGTGAGTGGAAGTGACCTTCGACCATCGCACAACACACAATATGAGAGAGCGCATAGACGTCTTCCCACTCCCGGAGGCACCCATCAACAGAACCTTGAGAAGGACCAAGACTCAGAAACAGACAAAAGAATGGTAATGCGCCGACAAACCTTTTGCTTCATGCTGGCTTACGAAGGCACGGTCCAAGTCGACAGAGCTATGGGCTTCAAAGCCTCATATAAGACGGGCTTGCGCGTCCAAAGACGTTTCGAGCCAAGTTTTCTGAGTCGTCGCTGTGGAGAGAGGGAAGCGGCAGCCAATGTGTAATGGCATCGAAGCCTAGGGCATTTGCCGTGATTGATGATGGTATTGAGTCACCTCTGATTGAATCACGATCATTGACTTACGTGATCCTATTCCCCTTCCTCCAAAAATTTTACGACCCCACCGGAACGCATAGACGATGGACGGAAACTTGGCAAGCAAGTACTAGTTTAAGATCGGTCTTACTCCCCCAACTTATCTAGTTCTCTAGCGACATATACCTTAATACACGCCTTCCTCACGAAGCAATCACATTCGAAAGCAGCGGATGCTCTCAAAAAAGCTGCGAAAGACGTCGTCGTGCTGAAGGACAACGTTCCTGTGGAAGGGCCTCATTTGGATGAAATCTTGAAGGAATGGAAGGTCTTGAAGGCATCTGCCATGTCAGACTCGTGCGTAACCTAAACGGGACCTAGATTTTCTGAGTGCCCATTCAACGTTTAGTTCTTCATCTTCAAGTTCGAGTTCGGACTCGGAATCCAGCTCGGAATCCAGCTCCAGCTCGTCGAGCTCAGACTCAGATTCTGACGACAGTGGGTTCATCACGAATCTCCTCCGCTATCGTCTCGTTCTAAGTGATACGGAAGCGTCATCCGATTCCAGCGACTCGTCCGACTCGTCTTCTTCTTCATCAGCAATCCCCTCCGCTCTTTCGAGCAAGAAAACAAAAACCTCAGCTAAAGGCAAAGCCAAGGCATCATCGAAAGGCTCCTCGAAAGGCTCATCTAAAAGCTCCTCGTCGGACTCCAGTGACTCTGACCCGGAACCCGTGAAATCGAAAGCGGCCGTCAAGAAAGATGTGCCGGAGTCGACTGTCACTACAAATAGCAAAGCATCCTGTGCGTCGAACCTCCTCCAGCGATCCTTGCTGATCTGTCCTCCGCAGCATCCTCCTCCAGCTCATCTGAAGATGACTCGGGTTCTGAATCTGGTGAGCTATCTTCGCTGCTATCATTTGCATCCTTTGCTTACCCAGTTTCAGACGACGAATCAAGCGACTCTGAAGAAAAACTGGCAGTGAAGAAGAAGCCGTCTAGCGAGCGATCATCCAGCCGCACGCTATCTACCGCGGGCAGTGTCTCAGGGGACCTCGTGAAATCGAAGGAGCCACCAAAAAAAGCTCCTGCAAGCAGCGATTCCGACTCTGATTCCGACTCTGATTCCGACTCATCGTCATCTTCCTCTTCTTCGTCCGATTCAGATTCAAGTTCGGACTCAGACTCCTCTTTATCTTCATCTTCGTCTTCCTCCTCTTCTTCCACCAAAACGCCAAGAGCGCCACCCAACGCCTCGCAGCCGGCTGCAGAGTCCATCCAGACCGCCAAAAAGAGACGCACCGCGGACGATGGGACTGCAGTCGTCACTGCCGTAGTGAATAACTCGATCAGCCGCGACGGTCCGACCGAGCTATCTGGGCGCAAAGTTAACATCCCGTTTCAACGCGTGAATCCGCATAGTGTCGCGAGAGAATACATGATGGACAACCGGTACACGTCCAAGGTTCGTTCGACCACTTGATCGATCAGGGTCCTTCTCACCTCACTTCAGGGGGGGTCGGCGAATGACTACGGCGCCAAAGCTCACAATGATCTTATCGTTACTCGCGGTGCTGGTTTCCGCAAGGAGAAGAACAAGAAGAAGCGTGGCAGTTACAAGGGAGGAGAAATCACCGTAAGTTGGGCTACTCAGCTCGCCAACCCGGCATTGACGATTCTCTCAGATGCAAAGTCATAGTATCAAGTTCGATTGATCTCATTTACTATGACCATCTACCTAATGTTGCATGAGGAGCCAAATAGATTTACTACAGCCATCAGTGGCACAGCACAGTAGATAAGATTAGATGTCCGTTACCCGTGGCGAGGCCCCGGTCGGACTTGCTTCTCACGCTTGACGACCATGCCCGAAGTTGCGACCCCGGATGGCGCACGAATTGCATTCGATATCCTCGGCAATCCGGAAAAGTCCGCAAGTCTTCCTATCGTTCTCGTTAGTGGAATGAGTTCGGTCAGAGGCGACTGGAATCGGTTGTCACGCAGACTGGCGCAGACGAGGCTTGGTGAGGCAGTGTGCTGTCTTGGACTACACGTCGTTGACAGGCTTTCATGGGGAAAGTCCTTGTGTACGACCACCGGTCAGTAGAGTGCACTCGTGCTGCGAGATAGTCGAGTGTAAGGCTGAACTGCCGCTCAGAGGAATGGGGGAGTCGAAGTTGCCGAGCGGAAACGACAAGTTCACGATCGAAACATTGGCCTCCGACCTCGCATTCTTGATTAACCATGTGGGCTGGCAGGAGATGGGTGTCTGTGGATTCTCTATGGGTGGTGCAGTGGTTTCCCGAACATCCTGAGCCAAGCTCCAACTCAACGAGCAGGTGCGGTGACACAGCAATTGCTCATCCTCTCCCACCCGTTCGCCTTCAAAGTCACGCATGTCATTCTGGCGGCGACATTCAACAAATCATTCAAGGAACCTGGATTCGGGCTGCCTCTCCCTCCAAATCGAGTGCTTTCGGAACAAGACAAGCGGGACTTCACGCGCCTTGTGGTAGAAAAAGGCTTTGATCAAGCCTGGCTGAAGAACCCAGCAAATAGTTCTCAGTTGGACGAACTCGTCGTCGCATCTTCCGTGGGCAGGTGAGCGTGACTTCATTCCTCCCTTCATCCATTACATCTAAATGGACGCGTTCCAGGCCGCGAAAAGTGATCTGTACGTCCGAAGAGGAAGCTCAACTTGCTCTGATGCCAGCATTGCACAGTGAGACAAATGAAGGCCGCCAACCACGTCGACTTCACCGCTCTGCCCCCGCCGAATGACACCCTGGTTCTCGTCATTCACGGCGCCCTGGACTCGATCGTGCCCCCGCGCATGGGGAATGAATTCTTGGCCCGGATACCATGGGCTCGGTCCCTTGTGGTCGATGCGACCGGGCGACCGGGAACAGTCCCCAGCCTCGATTTCGGCCACACCTGGTTCGAATATTTCCCAGTCCGGGTCTGGCAGGATGTGATCGACGACTTTTTGGCCTCCACATCAGTATCCACTTCTGTAGCTGTCCGCACGACTGCCCGCTTGTAATATCGGGCTTGAATACAACAGATTCTTCTCTCCCCATGGATCTCCTGCACTCATCGCTGTCACTGACACTATCGATTCAACTCTGAGTCTCCGGATGAGTGGATCCGCCGCCGCGGTGGCTACGGAGGATCGGCAGAGCAAGCTTATAAGCCTGAGCATAAAAACGCAAAATAGCGTTTGAGGTTGGGTAGCCTGTCTTTCCCTCTCATGCCCCACCTCACCCTCCCAGACGGCGCGCGCCTTGCTTATGAGATGCTTGGCAGTGAGCATTTCTCGAGAAACAGCCTCCCCATCGTGTTTGTCGGCGGGGCAAGCAATGTCGGAAGGGACTTTGAACCTCTGGCGATTTCTCTGGCGCGTGTGAGACCTGGTGCGCACTAGTGGCCCGACGTTCTGCAGATCAAGGGCTTATTGGTTCCCGCAATTTGGTAGTCTTGTTGTATGACATCCGGTTAGTGGACGGCTTGCAGTTCCGTGGGCGATGTTTTCACCCCTAGCGCATCAGAGGAATAGGCCACTCGACTATGACAGGCGAGGAATATACAGTTGACCTCCTCGCCCGAGATCTACTTGCTCTCCTCAAGCACGTGGGATGGAAGAAGCTTGCCATCTGTGGATTCTCGATGGGTGGTGCGCGAGGCTATTAGGCCGAGTAGCCCAAAGCTTATATCCAAACTCGTCAGGCACCATCGCCCAGTCGCTGATCTTCCTACCATTCCACGCAACGGCACCCGAATCTCTTCCCTTCGTCGTTACCCATGTCGTCTTCGCTTCTTCGCTGTGCTCGGTGATCACCGACCAGAATTACGGTCTGCGAGTTCGTCCGGTTAGGAGGCCAAAGGAAAATACTAGGCCGGAGAGGAACGTATCAAAAGCTGCCTTCAGATCCGCTTTCGATCCACGATGGATGGAGGACCCCCGTAACGAAGCGCGCTTGAACTACTGGATTCAAACGAGCACAATCGGACGGTGAGACAGGCAGCGTGCAGAACTTGCAACCGAACTGAACAACGAAGGCCGAGAGCAGTCATCGCAAAGCAACTGCAGGCAGCAAGTTTCTAATGCGAGGAATCTGGAATACAGCTGACGATGTATTCAGGGATACAGCTTTGATCTCGGAAACCACTACCACAAGCTGTCCCGGGACACCCGATTCCTCGTCATCCACGGCAGCTTAGACGCGATCCTGCCTCCCTCGTGCAGTGAAGAGATCCTGCAACGGATTCCCTGGGCACGCAAGGTAGAAGTCGGCGCCTATCCGGGGGCGGTCCCGACGCTGGAGTTCGGGCACAACTGTTTCGATTACTTCGACATCCAGATCTGGCACGACGTAATCGAAATGTTCCTCGTCGTACTACCGAAACTATAGCTTTCCACCCCCATTTTCAGAGCGCGGTCAGCGGACGGATCCACTCGGAGCGAATCCAGTCTGCGGTCTTCTTCTCTGTGCGCACGTATTGCCAGTCGAACATGGTGTCGCGGTCCAGTCTGAAAGGATTGATGTTTCGGTCGGAGACGACTGTCGAGTGCAGCACGATCCACTCCTTGGGCTCGGCGGTCTGCCAGAGGACCTTGGGCCAGTACCACCGCGTGACAGGGTGTATGAGTAGCCGGTCTGATCCTGAGAGGATGCCAGCCGCGACATCATCCGGGACAGAGTGCATGTCGAAGGTCACCAAGAAACGATTGTCCCACATAATCTGCATCTTCGTGCCCTCGTCATGGTCTCTGGCCTCCAGCTTCGCCCTGAATTCCTCGGTGATATCAACACGCACGGCATTTTCGAGCTCCTCCTCGATAACGGTGCGCATCTGGATGGGGGGCTGGCGCGATACCAGCCAGCCGTCGATGTCACCCGGCTGTGGGGTATACTTGGTCGCACTGAACCGTATTCGAGTAGATCCGACTGTCACAGGCTGCCAGAGAACGCCGCCGCCCGCCGCGAAAGGTGCGAGGCCCGCCCCGATGGGATCTGGTGTCCACAGCGCCTTCATGATCCGCACCAGACTCTGTCGGCGCCGGTTTCCATCTGCACGGAGAGAGCCCCACGGGTTGAGCGACAGGTAGCGCGTGATTCGCAGGATGAGCGCCCGGCGGACGTTCATGTCGCGGATGGTTTTGAGACCGCGGTACGACAGGAGCATGGTGCCCTCTGGCGAGGGCAGGCGACACCGATTGAGGCAGCTGTCCACTGGAAAACATGTCGAATGGATATTTCTGGAAGTAGAACTGAAAACACACCTTCGCTTTCGATATCTTCCACCTGATCCGTGAGACTCAACACCGACATGCGCACAGATTCGGGCCCATCGGCAGGGTCGATGTTGACCAGTTCCAGATCCGATAGACCTTCTTGAATTTGATCGATATGTTCCTGGATATGCTCAGGAATGTCTGTCCCGAGAGCCTGTGCCGAGCTCAGACGGGATCTTTGAAGTGTACTCGAAGACGCACCGTAGAGTCAAGCGTGTTGAGTGACAATAGCTTTCGGATGGAGTTCCGGATTGTAAGTTCGGGCTGGAAGTTGGTAGAGTCGGTCACGTATTCCAGATTCTCCTCGGCACACGTCGCCAGAATTCGGTCCTACGTGCAGAGTAAGTATAGACCCCAAGTGATAGAAAGACAGCGCGAGCCAACCTTGCTAACATCCAGCAGGGGACGAATCATCCATCGCGACATCCCCGGTAGCCCAGCGAACCCCAGTTCGCCCCGCGTATCGACCGCGCACATACCCCACCGGCGCACGCGCTTCATGCCGCCCGCGCCCATCTCCGTCGAGCCCTTCCCCAGGCGCATCAGCGACGTCTCGACCTGATCGTCCGCATGGTGTCCGAGCGCGAGTACGTCGACGCCCTCGCGCAGCATCATCTCGAACATCGTGTGGTAGCGCGAGGTGCGCGCGGCCGTCTCGAAGGGTGTCCCGGGCTGCGGTTTGTCCGGGTGCGGCGCGGTGCCCCACGGGATGACGGCGGAGGCGTGTTTGACGCCGAGCGTCTTGGCGACGCTCGCGCAGTGCGCGGCCATGGCGGCGGAGGACGGCTGGAGGTCATGGTCGATGGTGAGCGACACAAGTCTGGAGTACGCGTCCTCGGGGGAGATTCTGCGACTCTCTAGGCCTTTTGGACGGGATGTTGACGCGCCGCGGACGTCATTGAGATAGCGGTTGAGAAGGAAGAGCAGACATGTCGAGTCGGATCCACCTGAGTTGGCAACACCTGCAAAGGACATGAGAACCCGTCACGCGTAGAGCGAAGCGCTTGCCACGCGCCAATTCTAGTTGGCCAGCCGGATGGAGGTCTGCATCTCTGGATTAACCGCGCAAACTCTTGTCGAGAGATGGGGCTCAAGGGCATAAAAGATACTTGTGGCGATGCGGTCCACTCGGATCAATGTCAAACGGTCCGGACCACTCAACCATTATATTCGACAAGAATTATGTGTGTAAGTACAAGCGAAACGGCTAGAAACGAGTCCACCCATCTCCTTCTACCTTGTGGCCTTTCTTTCTCAGCTCTTGGACCGTTTGCGCACTATATGGGCGCGCATACTTGATTGCAAAATGATCAAACTCTCTGTCCGCGGCAGGCCCTTCCAACACCCGTAATCGAACGCGTCCATGGTCATCCGGGGCAGTCTGGAAGTTTTCAGACGCCGTAAAAAATTCTTTCTTCGCAATGCAAACTCACGAGGACGGCAGCAGGCGTATACACGACCTCCTTCGTCGATCCAGTCGACCCAGACGCCACCGAACGCGCCACAGGCAGCGGAGCCAGCACGATCTGCCGGCCGCTGCTGAACTCGTCCCGCAGAGAAGAAACGCCGTCCCCAGCACATTCCAGCGGCGCGATCTCCTTGAAGAATGGCGAGAACATTTTTTCCTGCGGCTCTTTCGTCCGCGGATTGGCGAACGAAACGACGTAGTTGCGACGCTGGCTCCCATCCTGCGAGAGTACGTCAGACGAAAACTTCGCTCGAGGGAAAGCGAGGTCCGAGTACCTCGTTCTCGATCAAAATCGGGCGCATGACCTGCCCGACATACCAGCCCGAATAGCTGTCAGTGCTGGCATTCCATCGCCGGATGCGAACCGAATCTCCTATCTGAGGACTTTTTCAGTGACGGGCGGGGATTTCTTTTCTTTGCTAAAATCCGACCTTGAAGTAATCGACGCCGTCTTCGAGCTCTGGAATCGGAAAGAATCCTCCGCTGGAAATCTTCCGTGAAGAGCTCGCTGGAATGTTTCTTTCGATTCGATCGACAGTCTCCAGAGAAGTGGAGCTGGTCTTCCTCTGCCGGTGTCCCTTCCACGGAGCAGGTTCTCCAAGGGGGCTGAACATAGCAGCACTCAGCGGGGCAATGCTCGGCGCAGGCGGATAATAATACTGAGGACGAGTGTGATACATGGGTGGCTGACAGTGGCATTTTCCTCTCCCCGATTTTATAGCGAGACTGAATCCGCGCTTTGACGCTCGAATTAGGAAACACTTTGGCCTGCCATTGTCCTTCGCTAGGACCGAGCATTGTATGCACGTGACCTTTCTACGCGTTATTAGCTTGTTGTGAACAACAATACTGACGATAGCAAGTGCGCGAGTGGAATTTCCAGCAGGGAAGAGAAAGAATACAGAAAGCGACAGAATACAGAATGGGACGAGTACAACAGATCAGATGGGATTCTCCGCGAGAGGGGTATTGAGCAGTGGGAACGACCCAGCGCCGGGGTCTGAGCCGCGTCGCGGAGTGTCCTGCACCGACCCCTCCGAAGGAGAAGACGGCTCAGGAGGAGGATAAGGCGTCCCTCCGACCACCGCTAACAGATCGACACCTTCGCTGCCCAGCGTGATTGGCGTGACCGGAGCGGGATATGCCAGCTCCACTTCGCGCGCACGCTCGTCAGGCGCCCACGGGTTCGCAAATTGGCCCCGGATCTGCGGGACAGCGAGCTCAGTTCTCGGGGGCGAGAGCGAATGGATCGACGCGGCTGGCGAGTGCGGGTGGAACCCTCGCGCGGCGATCGGCCCTGGTTTACCGTACTCAAGCGACTGACTCTGCGGCCGATAACGCATAGAGATGGGCGTTGCGTGCTGTCCGGGCGTGTGCAAGTCGAGCTCTGAAGCCGACCGAGACAGGGGCTCTGGCAGCGTGCTTTCGGACGACTCGGACGAGTGCGAGAGATTGATGCTGAAGACAGACGCTGTCGCCGACGGCGGCTCCGAGCTACGATCCAGACAAGCAAGTCAGATCTGCGGATCAGATGGCGGACACGGACGATAGCACTTACCCAGAACTGCCACCGTCGTCGTGATAGTCAAAATCGAGCCCCAGCGTGTTGCGCGGGACGTTCTGGCGCATGTCGAACTCCACCACGGCCGGCGGTGCCCGCGCGGCACCTGCCCCGTCTTGCGACACAGGCCGATGCACCATCGCCGCTGGGTACGGCCGCGGCTGGGTGTGGTGGAACGCAGCGTCGCCCAGCCGCAGCGCCGAATGGCTCTGCGCGCGCCGCACGAAGTGCTGCTGCTGCCCCAGGTCCTGGAGGTGCCCGCCGTGGTGTGGATTGAGGAAGGGGTAGAATGGGTCTGGCTGTGGCACCTGCGGCAGGGACATCCGGGTGTACTCGTGCGGCTGGGGCGCATACGGGGGAAAGCGGCGATGGCCGCCGCCCATAGCCTGCTGCGGGGAGTATGTGTGGTGGATGCCATACTCGGGCGAGTAGTCCGCGAGCGGGTGGCCCATCATCTCCTCCTGTTTCACCCCGCGTACTAGACCTGCGTCGTCGGCGTACCGCATGTCGAGGGAGGACGTCGAGACCGCCTGGCGGATCCGGGCTTTCGCGGGCCCGCGGACGCGTTCTCGTCCGGAGTAGTGGCATATCAACCCGCGCGCCGTGCAGCGCTTGCACACCGGATGGTCGCCTGAACACTGCGAAGATGCACTTGAGACACCGGCGGCGGGCCGACGCCTGCTGACGCACCTTGGTCTTCCTGTCCCTGCACTTGTCGCACGCTTGCGTCGTCCGCTGCCGGGATGGTTGCGCGCCGAGATCGTAATCGGGCGGGATGGGCGGATAGTCCATATCGAAACTCTGCGACGTTCTGCGGGATATCGGCGACGATTCAGGGGAGGCCGTCAGATCCCAGCGCTGGAACATATTGGAGAACCCGCTCAGTTCGAGTGACGGACGCCGTTGTCCTGGAGTAGCAATGGGAATGGGACGCAAAGGATGTGTCGACTCGTATGTTGCGGCAAACATGTCGAGTGGGCGGATGTCTGGAAAGGGCCAAGATGGTCCGCTGAAAATTATAGCAGCTCAGTCTCCTGTGTCAGGCATCCGCTCATTCAATTCCAATTTGGTCCATTTTGATCACCGCCTTCGATCCGTTTTTCGATCGATCACTTGACGCTGAGCTCCGTGAGCCCGCTCATACAGTGTCATGTAGTGTGCTACGACGCTCTCCCGAGTATCTCCTGGTTGAATTCACGCCCAATCAACATCCGTCGAATTTCCTGCGACCCAGCCCCCACGGCATACAGCCTGGAATCCCTGACGATGCGACCCACGGCATATTCTGGGTAATCAGACAGATCAGACCCTGCACAGAAGCAGAGGACGGTCAAAATCACCGTTAATATATCCATTTCCACCCAGCGCTTGCTGGGCCTCGAGCGCGACCTGGATCGCCTTCTCCGTGGAATACAGAATCGCGCCGGCACAGTCCTCCATACAAATTCAGTAGATGCGTTCCCGGAAACTGGTCCTGCTCACTCGACGGCTGATTTTGCCTTGGTCACAGGCCCTCGCCACGGCATACACATAGGATCTGCTCGCGTTAAGGTTGGTGTACATGTCGGCGATCTTGCCTGTCACGAGTTGAGCTGGTACATAGATGATCCCTGGTACGAACCTTGCATCAATTGAAACGTCCCAATCGCCTGTCCAAATTGCTTGCGCTCATGGACGTATTCGAGTGCGTAATCAAATGCCGCCTGCATTAGTCTGAAATCCCGTCATGTCAGGCGCTGACATCATCACAGAGAATTGAAATTACCCCAGAGGCCCCTAATCATGCCAGTGAGGGGTCAGCTTTCAAGAGATTGACAGGCAACGTACACCACTCAGAACGAGCCTTTCGAGGTCTAACCCTGACATGAGCACCGCCGCCCCTCTGTTGACTTGACCCAGTACATTCTCTGCATTCCATGTCTCGAAATCAGAACGATGCAGAAATACAAATGCGAACCTTCTGGAACGAAGCAGTCCTCGAATACCAATTCGCACGTGTCACTGCCTCGCATCCCGAATTTGTCCAGCTTCGGGCTCGTCGAGAATCCCTCAAACCCTCGCTCGACCAGGAAGGCTGTGATTCCCTTGGACTTTTTCTCCGGTGCAGTCTTGGCGTACACCACTAGCGTCGATGCCGAGGGGCCATTTGTAATCCTGTTGAGCAACACCACAGATGGAAGCTGCATGAGGACCGCACCAGCAACTGAAACGAGTACCGCACCAGAACTTATTGCCTGTCAATCTCCAACCGCGCTCGACTTTATCCGCCCTGAGCTGCATGCTCACGACATCGCTGCCGCTCCCCGTCTCGCTCATCGCTAGGCTGCCGACCTTGGCGCCGCTGATGAGGTCCGGCAGATACTTGGCCTTCTGCGCGGCCGTGCCGTGCCGGTGGATCTGGTTGACGCAGAGATTCGAGTGCGCGCCGTAGGACAGCGCCACCGAGCCCGACGCGCGCGAGAGCGACTCCATCGCGAGCGTGTGCTGCAGGTAGCCGAGCCCGAGGCCACCGTATTCAGGCGCGACGGTGATCCCCAGCAGCCCCATCTCGCCCATCTTGGGCCACAGGTCCTGTGCGGATGAGTGAGTCTGAGCAGTCTGGGACGGGGACGGAGACGGGCGGACGACGCACGGCTGGGAAGGTATTCGATTTGTCGATCTCCGCGGCGCGGGGCGCGACCTCCTTCTCCGCAAAGTCGTTCACTGCGTTTCTGAACTGGATAAGATCCGGTCGGTGGGGCGACGACATCGGGAGACCACGCGATGCGGACGGACCTCGTGCTCTTCGTCCGTCAGGCCCGACACGTCGACGTTGTAGAAGGACGCGAGGCGGCGCGTGGTGTAACGAGGCGCGAGGCGGACGGCGCGGCGGGGGAGGGCTTGGAACAGCGACATGGTGTGGGGGAGAGCGATCGTGTTTACCCGACGTCATCACACGGATCAGGTGTTGACTGGGCGTGGGAAGGCCGCTATTCCCATCCCCGGGTACCGGGCCTGTGAAATTTTGATAGTTCAGAATGGCTTCAGGAAACATTCCAGTGGCTGAAAATCGATCTGAACGCGCTAACAGAGATTAGTTGGGTTTCTGCCTCACGGGCGGACCATTGGCTGTGGCACTCGACTGTGCCAAGTGCTTCTGTATCGGTGAAATCTAATCAGCGCACTCTCGAGCCAAGTCTCAAACGCTCAATCAAGCGCAATGTCATCTCCGAGGTGCCCAAATTGGCCAGGTGAAGATCGATGAACCGCTGCACTTGATGTAAGTAAGTTTTCAGTGGAAATTACGGCCGCACTCAATCACGGCAATCAGACGCTCTGCCGCCGCCGGATGCCGAAGCTTTTGATATGTTCTTTCTTACCATCAAGGGTTCACTCTGCCCTACCCTGAAATCCGGCGCCGCGTGTCTCCATTTGTTTTCTGTTCCATTTTACTTCGTGTCACACTCCATTGCGTTGCGCAGGCGATATCGATTACGCGACGAGCACGGATATGGCATGTGCAAGTCGACTAGCAATGAGTCGAATTTACTTGCTCTCCGGACTAGCCACAGACTTTTGCGCTTGTGTAAGGAGAGGAGCCTTCGATGAACTATCTGCGGCAGGCGGAGAAGACTCGGCCGGTAATCCTGCACCATACGTACTCGCCAAGGACTGGAGCTTTCCAGGCACAGAACCGCAGTTGAGCGCGCGCGGAGCTTTTAATGATCTCCATACGACCACCTGGTTATAGAAACTAGACTGCCTGCTGAGCCTGTTACGCATCTACGCAGTGTACCGGCGAGGATTAGACTTTGGCATCAATCAACTCCGAGTCGGTCCGCCGGATAGACCAAGCCATTTTTGTGCGGCACCTACACCCAGATATGCTTATTATAAACGGTGCTCTTCGGTCGGCTCTCCCCCGACTCTTCTCTCATGGCGAACTGGGTAGCATCTGCACTCCTGGGAGTGGTGAGGCTCTCATTTCTTTTTGCATTTCCAGGAAGTTAAAATTCTTGCAGGCCAACTCCTGGTATTTCCGGCGCTATGAGCCTACGAACGCCCATTCACCGGTCCTCGCGATCCTGATCCAACCTCCCCTGGCCCTGTTCCTTATTTCCCTCCAAACCGGTGCATCGGTGCTCACCTGGACCGCATTGGGCTGCATGTATGCGGGACTTATCGGTGCTATGCTCCTGTCCATCACGCTCTACCGTGTCTCGCCCTGGCACCCACTGTCCGCCGTCCCTGGTCCGGTGGGATACAAGATCTCGAAACTGTGGATTTTGCGCGACGTTGCGAGGGGAGATATGCACCGGGTGGTCCGGGGGATGCACGAGAAGTACGGGCCCGTCGTGCGGACAGGTCAGTCTGGTTTGCGTTGTGTCCCATGCAATCATCGACGCAAATGGGCTGCAGGTCCGAACGAGGTGTCGATCGCGCACGTGGACGCGGTGAAGCGCGTGCTGGGGACGTTCTCCAAGGGACAGTGTGAGTGAAGCCGTCCCCGATAGCACTGCTAATTAGTCACTCACGATGAATTACAGACTACGAGGCGCGCTATGATCCGTCCCTCGGCACGCGCTCGCTGCTCATTCTGCGCGGCGAGGCGCACACGAGCCGCCGGCGGATCTGGAATCGCGGATTCAACTCAGATGCGATCGCGGGTTACGAGGCGATGATGGGCCGCCGTGTCTCGCAGCTGCTCGACAAGCTCAGAGAGCAAGTGAAGTCTGGAGCGCCCGTGAGCATCTCTTCCTGGCTTGGGTTTTTCACGTGAGGCGTATTCGTCTGTCCTCTCCGACCGATTTTACGTTGTTCCTTGGAAGGTTCGACTTTATGGGCGATATGGCGTGCGTAATGTGCCCTGGTCTAATCTAGCTTCGGAAAGTGTTTAACAGAGTGGCCTTCTAGATTCGGTGGAGGGTTCGAGATGCTTCGTGACGGAGGAGACAAGAACGGGCTGTGGAAGATCATCGAGGACGGGGCTCGGTGCGTTCCTTGTTCTGGTCATTGGAGCAGCAGCCTCCTGATGCTCCCAGAAACGTCGCCTTTCTCTCTCAGATACCTTGGATCGCGCCGAGCTTGATGTTGATTCCGAATCTGTACAAAGGCCTCGTTACTCTCCGTCGCTTTGGGGTCGATTCTGCTACGAACCGGGTCAATGCTGGCTCGAGTGTAAAGGATTTGTGGTACCATCTGGTGTGTCATTTCGCAAGCCATAGTAGGGATCTGACGAAGAAGTCCTCTCAGACCGACGAAGCCGAGCTAGAAAAGCAGCGGCCGAGTTTCCGAGAGGTCGTGGCGGATGGTGTATTGAGCATCATCGCGGGTTCCGACACTACTTCGACGGCACTAAGCGGGTCTGTGGTCCCACTCTTTATGTCGCTCCTCTGACGGGAGTGATTCAGCTTTATCTGGCTCCTACTGTCTCACCCTGAGGTCTACAAACGTCTGCAGGCGGAAGTCGACAGTGTGTATCCGAAAGGCGATTCGCCACTCGACTCGTCCAAGCACAAGCAGCTGCCGTTCCTCACCGCATGTCTGTGCGTTTGTGTCCCCGATATTGGCTAGCTATGTATCCCATTACTGATGGCAAACGCAGAAACGAATCGCTCCGGCTTGTTCCTCCAGTCCCTTCCGGCGGCCCTCGGCGGGTTCCTAGCAATGGTGGCCGTGTTGTCGCGGGACAGTGCGGCTTGTTTACATGTTTCTCCGGAAACCCTCGATTGAGTTCGTCCCAGATACATCCCCCCAAACACGCAGATCTACGTCCCGCAGTACACGCTCCACCGATCCGCCGACAACTTCTACGACCCCGACGCCTTCCGGCCAGAGCGCTGGCTGCCGGGTGGCGCCGGGCCGGACCAGATCCACAACCCGCTGGCGTTCATCCCGTTCTCGTTCGGCTCGGCGAACTGCGTCGGCAAGCACCTCGCGATGCGGGAGATGCTCACGGTCGCCGCGGCGCTGGTGCAGACCTTTGACATGCGGTTTGCGGAGGGCTTCGCGTCGGAGGAGTGGGCGGGAAATCTGCACGATGTGTTTGTGACGAGCATCGAGATGCCGTTGATGGTTGAGATGACCGTGAGGACGTAAATAGATGGAGTCGTGTTTTTTTTTGGCGGTTGCGAATGTGAGGGCGTTGTATTCCCACGGTTTATCATCAGGATAATAGCACCGCTATGCATATGGACAACTCGTGTTTAGCTTCCAACTGTCAGTCAAGCTCCATGTGTGCTTCCATCAGTTCCATATTGCTATAGTTGACTGATTAGGTTGAGAAGATCGATGAACTCACCGTCTTTTTGGCTCGTGTGTCATGCCTGTGGGGCGCAAGTACCCGATATGGACAAAGTCTATGTGGCTGTGTTTTCGGCATCTCGGCAGTCACGCAGGAAGCTCGGACGTTCGAGTCCGAGCAGTTGTCAATTTCGCACAACTCAGATTACTTACTTGGGCCTTTTGGTGCAGATCGTTAGAAACTGTACAAACGCAGAATTGTATTATTTTGAATCGTTTCATTAATTAGCAGGTGAGCGGTAGTACGCTAAGTACTCATAAATAATCACCGATTACTTATGATTACTTATGCCAATTGGTGTGATCATCAACACCTTCCGCAGCTGGATCCAAACGCATCAGCCCTCTGCAAAGACCGTGGTATAAAAAAAGTAAAACATATACAATTCTGCCACGGGGGTTCTTGGGAACCCCCGAGGCACAAGTCATTCCAGGATTCGAACTCTAATAGTGATCAATGCCACACGGGATGACGTCGTCATCACCCGAAGAGGGCAATCACGGGTGCTTTCGGAGGCGGCATCTTCCGACCCGCCTGTTGCGAGAATTGTTTGATTCTCATTGGCTGGACCTTAGCCCAAATGAGGATATTGCCCCGAATAGACTCGGGGCCTCGCATCAACTCCGACATCAGGTGTTTTCATAGTTGCCGACCTTGAGCCACTCTCGCGATACAGCCTGTACGGCCCACAACAGGGAAGATTATTTGTTCCAACAGTCCCATTGTCAAATCCAAATCATAATATACTCTCCCTTTTCCTTCGATTTTTCTCCTTCCCTTGTGTTTGATTTTTTTGTTTCTCTCCACAGACATGGGCCACGAGCCGTCTTTTTCTTCCGCGTAAACTTTTCTTTTTTGGACTAGGAAATCAAATACGAATGGCTGCAGGATCCCGATTATGCGGTCAAATGTCAGCCCCAAAGTTGGCTGAAGCCCGCCATATTTGTCTCACGCGATTCGAGCCTGAATCCAGGACTTTTGGTGTCCAACTGGCCGCCCTTGCTCAATGATATCAGCCCCTATCCGGCCCGAGCTTCTACTTGTATGTGTGATTTTCCAATCAGGATCATGCGTCGTATCTTGCACGTGCTACGTTCCTGGATATGGGCGCGATATGGGCGCGCATGGGCCGTGCATGAATAGGGAGTCGCATTGACTTTCTAGACCGGCCATCTTTGAGGATGGGATTCTGGAAGGCGGAACCTGCGGCTATTCGAACAATCAACCGGCCGGCACCGGCTTGCAGCCCGAGACTGCAGCTGAGGATTCCCAAACGGGCAGCCGTAATTCCGTTTAGCTCTATACTACGAACATGGAAGTGCGGCTGCTGGCCCCTCGACGCGTATTGAATTCAGCATTGATCTTCCCCGGTTAGGTTTGGCATCAGTCAATTGGGACGGCCTCTTAAATACACCAAGGTCGCCCGCCCGTACTGACATTCTGATCAACAAGTTGCGCTGCTCCTCATGTCCCACTCGACGCTCATCCCGATCTGGGCAGCATCTGCGCTCATGGGCGTGGTAAGCCGTCGTCGCTGTGTGCCTCATTCCCAGTTGTCGAGTTTACTGCAGGTCAACCATTTTCATTTCCGGCGCTACGAGCCCACGAACGCGCATCGACCTGCCCTCGCAATCCTGCTCCAGCCGCCCCTCGCCCTCTTTCTGCTGTCCCTCAAAACAAGCGCAGCGCTCACCTGGACCGCATTGGGGTGCATGTATGCGGGATTCATCTGTGCTCTGCTCTCGTCCATCACGCTCTACCGTGTCTCGCCCTGGCACCCCCTGTCTGCCGTCCCCGGTCCGGTGGGGTACAAGATCTCGAAGCTGTGGATTTTGCGCGACGTTGCGAGGGGAGATATGCACCGGGTGGTCCGGCGGATGCACGAGAAGTACGGGCCCGTCGTGCGGACGGGTCAGTCCGGTTTTTCCCATTCGATCGTCGACGCAAATGTGCTGCAGGTCCAAACGAGGTGTCGATCGCGCACGTGGATGCGGTGAAGCCCGTACTCGGGGCCCTCCCCAAAGGTCAATGTGAATATGCATTTCTGAGCACGCGTAGATTGCGATGCTGATTCCACCGATTTCACGCAGACTACGAGGCCCGCTACGACCCGTCCATCGGCACGCGCTCGCTGCTCATCCTGCGCGACGACGCGCACACGAGCCGCCGGCGCATCTGGAACCGTGCCATGAACTCAGATGCGGTAGAGGAGTACACAGCGACCATGCGCCGCCGGGTGTCGGCGCTGCTGCAGAAGCTCGAGGCGCAGTCGCTGACCTCTGCGTCGACCGATCTTTCCTCGTGGCTGGGATATTTCACGTAGGCTCCATTCGTCTTCCGCGGAAAATCCTGACACGTCCACCACAGCTTCGACTTCATGGGGGATATGGCGTGCGTGATTTTTCCCTTGTTCTGTTTCAGAGAGAGGAGCACGATTATGGCAGATTTGGCGGTGGATTCGAGATGCTTCAGGATGGGGGAGACAAGAACGGGCTCTGGGAGGTCATCGAGAACGGAGCTTGGTGAGCATCGTTGGTCCGTTCACCAGGAGCGCTGCGAGCGGATCTTTCCAGGTCTCTGGCATTCCTCTCCCACATTCCTTGGCTGTCCCACAGCGTCATGCTGCTGCCAGGTGTCCAGGGGGGACTCATGAAACTCCGTCGGTTTGGGGTGGCCTCTGCGACAAATCGTGTCAACGCTGGTTCGCGGGTCAAGGACTTGTGGTACCACCTTGTGAGCTGCTGAAATGCACGGGCCAGTTGGAGTGGATGTCTGATGCCAGTGCTAGACTGACGAGGCCGAGTTGGAGAAGGAGCGGCCGTCTTTCCGCGAAGTCGTAGCGGACGGTGTGTTGAGCATCATCGCCGGCTCCGACACCACGTCCACCGCCCTGAGCGGGTGCGTCATTCTCTTTCCTTGTCCTCTAGCACTGAGACCACCCAGGCTTTTCTGGCTGCTGCTGTCTCACCCGGACGCCTACAAACGAGTGCAGGCCGAAGTCGACGGCGTGTATCCGCGCGGGGACTCACCGATGGACCCGAGCAAGCACAATCAGCTGCCGTACCTGACTGCGTGTCTGTCAGTTTGCGATAATTACCTATAGCCAGCCCTGTGGACCCGCGCGCTCATGTGAAATCCCAGGAACGAGGCGCTCCGGCTTCTTCCGCCGGTACCCTCCGGCAGCCCGCGCAAAGTCCCCGGTGACGGCGGCGGGAGAGTCATCGCCGCACAGTAAGTCTTGCTCTCCTCGTACTTCCAACAGAAACGACGGAGTAACTTGGATCGTCTTGGCAGATACATCCCTCCCGACACGCAGGTATATGTCCCCACGTACACGCTCCACCGGTCTGCCAAGAACTTCCATGACCCTGACACTTTCAGGCCAGAGCGGTGGCTGCCCGGTGCCCCCGGCGCAAACCAAATTCACAACCCGCTCGGGTTCATCCCGTTCTCGTTCGGCTTCGCGAACTGCGTCGGCAAGAATCTCGCGATGCGGGAGATGGTCATGGTCGGCGCCGCGCTGGCGCAGACGTTCGACATGCGCTTTGCCGATGGATTTGCTGCCGAGGAGTGGACTGAGCATTTGCATGATGTATTCGTGACGAGTATTGGGATGCCACTGCTGGTCAAGCTGACGAAGAGAACGTGAGTGCATAGTGATCCGCGTTTCCGCCTGGTTCCCACGGTTGGGATAGCACGTGAATTCGATGACTACTTGTTCCCACGGTTCATCACTACCAGGAAACATTGGTCTCCACTACCGTACACCCCAAGCACAGACTCCTGCATGCGATGCCGCTGCCCGTTCAAATCGCAATTTTTTGAGACACCGATAGTTTTGCCTTTCGAGTGCCAGTGGAATGTCGAAGCCTGTGCGCGGTTTTCGGCTCGCCCAATCACTGATAGAAGCTTGCTGTCCTATGACTCCGAATCGGCCAGTAATAGTGGCCGCTTGATCGGGGTCGGTGACGGCAACAGACTCTGTTTGAATGATGATCTCCGCCCGAAGCCCTGTACTGTCAGATAGCGGGTCCACATCCACCGATGTGACCAAAAGATAATGACGCTCCGTGAGCAGGAATTGCGTACTTGACATTTTGCCTATTATCCACTGAGTCCGTATTTCCTGCATCATGCCAATGCTTTTAGGATAAAAGCATCGCATCGAGCCGCCTAGCTGCATACTTGACCCCCCATGCAACAAATCTGGCTCCCACCCGCTTTACTTGGTGTGGTCAGTGTCCGACATCACTATTCCCAAAACCCGTGCTCACATCGCCCTAGCTCAACCACATCTTCTTTCGCCACTTTGAGCCAGGCAATGCGCACTACCCTCTTTTAGCGATCCTCATCCAGCCTGCGCTGCTCCTCTCGTTCCTCTCCCATGGCACGCCCAGTGTGCCCACCGTTCTCGGTGTCTACGCGACATTCATTGGCTCCCTTTCGCTCTCCATCGTGCTTTACCGGCTCTCCCCGTGGCACCCCCTCGCATCGGTCCCCGGCCCGGCTCTCTACAAGATCTCCAAGGTCTGGAGCCTCCGCGACGTCGCGCGGGGGGACTCACATCGTGTCCTCCGACGGATGCATGATCAGTACGGTCCGGTCGTCCGAACCGGTGCGTTGCTTGTTTCCTGTCCGAGTCGTTCTAGTGCGCGGGGCACGCCGCTCATTCATTCCCTTGTTTGCTAGGCCCGAATGAGGTGTCGATCGCGCACACCGACGCGGTCAAGGTCGTACTGGGGACGTACCCCAAAGGCCAGCGTGAGTGCCGAGGTTACCCGCGTCACGGTGGGAGTCCTGCTGACTGCATCTAGATTACGAGACTCGCGGGGACCCTAACGTCCCAGCCAAGTCGCTGCTGCTGCTCAAGGGAGAGGCGCATGCGAACCGCCGTCGGATCTGGAACCGCGGCCTCAACTCAGCCTCAATCGCCGCCTACGAGGTCACCTTGGTGAAGCGCATCTCGCAGCTTCTGGAGAGGCTGGAAGAGCAGTCGCTGTCAGGGTCGTCGGTCAGCATCAACAAGTGGCTGGGCTATTTTACGTGAGCACAGCTTCCGGCAAGCTTTCCTGTCGTGCTGAATGGTTCGTCCCAGGTTCGACTTTATGGGCGATATGGCGTGCGTGCAAGAGCTGCCTGCCGTGTGTCTCTGATACCTGCTCACGCTTGCTCACGTATAATCCAGGTTCGGTGGCGGATTCGAAATGATGCGCGATCGCGGAGATAAGGACGGGCTGTGGAAGATCATCGAAGATGGCACTCGGTGCGCGTTCTCAAGCAATTCCTTTCTCCAACGCACGATTGTTCAGATGCATTTCTCCCTCTCAGTGTCGCGGCGTTTATTTCCCCGATTCCCTGGATTTTACCGACGATACGGCTGATCCCGGGTCTCGCCAAAAACATCAACACCCTCCGCAAATTTGGTGCCACGTCTGCTGCCAACCGTATCAAAGCTGGTTCGCTCGTCAAGGACTTGTGGTATCATCTGGTATGTCTTCGCTTGTGTTCTGACCTGAAGGCACTGAAATCGTGTCTCCTCCCAGACGGACGAAGCCGAGGTGGAGAAACAGCGCCCCTCGATCCCCGAAGTGGTTGCAGACGGCGTGCTGAGCATCATCGCGGGCTCTGATACGACGTCCACAGCACTGAGCAAGTGCGTGTTGCCCACTGTCATATTTCATGACACAGCTCCTGATCCGCTGATCGGACAGTCTCATCTGGCTCTTGCTGTCGAACCCAGCGGTCTACAAGCAAGTTCGGGAGGAAGTCGACAGCGTCTACCCGCGCGGTGACTCGCCTCTCGATGCGTCCAAGCACTCCCAGCTCCCCTTCCTCACCGCATGCATGTCAGTCCTGCTAGTGGACCAGTGACTACCCCACTCACGCACCCGCACACAGCAACGAGACACTCCGGCTGCTCCCGCCCGTTCCGTCCGGTGGGCCCCGCAAGGTGCCCGTGGGCGGTGGAAAGGTCATCGCCGGGCAGTACGCATCCTTCGCATCGTCTCGTCGCGTATTTGAATCAGCTGACACCCGCTCGCAGATACATCGCACCGAACACCCAGATCTTCGTGCCGCAGTACACCCTCCACCGCTCCGCCGAGAACTTTGACGACCCGGACACCTTCAAGCCCCAGCGCTGGCTGAGCCCCGAGTCGGCCGAGAAGCACAACCCGCTCGCGTTCATCCCGTTCTCGTTCGGCTCGGCGAACTGCGTTGGCAAGAATCTCGCGTGGCGGGAGATGATTATGGTCAGCGCGGCGCTCATCCACTCGTTCGACATCAGCTTTGCGAAAGATTTCACGGGAGCCGAGGAATGGAGCAACCATCTGCACGACCAGTTCGTCACCAGCATCGCCGTGCCCCTCCAGGTGAGCTTGGCCAAGAGGGATTAGTTCGTTAGTTGTAGCATGGTTGTTACCTTTGAGGAAAACGCCATATTCGCTAGATTGATATTCGTTAGTGTTTTTGAAAGAAATTAGTATTTGGAACTCATTATGCATCAGCCGGTGGCGTTGCGGCTATCGTTAATTACCCACGGCTCAACATTCTGAGATTGATCATGCAGATCACCTTGGTCACCCCCCAATTCCTAACATTTGGGTAGGTTTCTTCGGCGTCCGAAACCTAACTAAGTGGTAGCGAGCAGATGAGCCGTAGGTGGCAAAACTTAGGCTTTGGGCAGCCCAGAAAAAATGGATTTTTTCCCCCAGAAATAGCCCATTTGGGGACATTCCAGGACACATAGCTGCAGATGGTAATCATGCTTCTGAGTTGTTCAGTAGAATATAAATTGAGTATTTTTGGGCATTACCAAACATTACTCAGCATAACTAGAGGGGACTAAGGTATTATCAGATATTACTAGTCATTACTAAGCATTACCAGTGGGTACTGTTGATCAAATATCATCTGTCAAGATGGATGTCGTGATACACATCTATGACTCCATCACGTGTCATCTAGAGTCAGATCGCAACTTTCTGCCCTTGGGATTCCTTTTTGGGAAGGACCCAAATGAGGCAATGACCGGCCGATGGCAGGTGATGGGCACCGAAATTCCTCGAAAATCATTATTTATTGAATAAGGAGGGTACAAATGCACAGGGAATAATGTCTAAGTGTTAGGAACAAGCTTAGAATTGAAGTGAGCAGTTTTTTTTGTTCAGAGTTCAGTCAGAGGGGACAAGGAAGTGGCATTTACATCTAAATACATACAGCACTGTAGCTAGTAGGGACAAAGAAGCTTGTACAGTTACTTATGTACATGCACAGCAGAGGGCCTGAGGTGCTGTGTGGCACAGGAGGAGAAGAGAGAGGGGACGACGTGCAAAGGGGAGGGGATGAGGGAGTAGCGGAAGAAAGAGAGAGGGAGGGCGTCGGAAGTGATGCCGTGACCACACGCTCACGGCGTCACTCCTGATGACCTCCCTCCGTCGAGTACCGGCGGCGGGGCGGCAGCCCAATGGCGTGGAAGGCCTTGCATGCGCGCACATCGCGTGGCACAACCAGCTGCGGGCGGGGGCGGGTTATCGTTGGGTCATCGCGTCAAACGGGAGGAGGGGGATGGGCAAGGGAGAAAGATGGGAGGTCACGAGGTCGTCAACAAAGTTATTTACTGGACAAATACACCAATAAGTAAAATAAATTAGGATCCGGAGCCTCCGTGTGCACGTGCCGGACGCTTCCCAAAAAGGTAGCTTAGTCAGAAAAGTCAAGGGCAGAATGTTAAAATCTTCTAGAGTCATATCGACTCATCCCAAATAGACACAAACAGCCCCCTGTATCATATATAAGGAGGGCTCTATTACCCTTTAATACAAGTCTCTTGACTACTCCCGCATAGTGCCCACACTAAGCTCTCACTCACACAGGTGAGCTGCTAGACGCTCTCCCCAGTGCTCAACAGGTACTACAGTATTATTGGGTATCTTTGGCCAGTACTAGCCATTACAAGCAGTTAATAGTGTAGACGATGAAATGCTGAGGGCGCGCTCACAAGTGAATCTACTATGAAAGTAAACCCAAATATAAACACGTTCACACTCCACGTAATCAGCTTCTCAGTGTGTGAAAGATGCGAGGGCTTCGGGGTGGACAGAACACCAGTATCACAACTCTCAATAGACGCAGATCAATAGTCGCGGAAGACAAAGTCGACAACAAGAATTTATATATAGCAAACAATGGTGTCTCAACCAATATCTTCTATACGGACACAACCAACACTAATCCAATCCACAACCAACAATATAACAAGTCAGAGCTTAATACAAAGTATTAAGATCCCTTGTAGCGACAGCGTCCAGATGGCAACGCAAAGCCCAAATATCAAGTCGACGCACTGCCAACTAGTAGAACCAAAAATGTCAAGTCGACGCACTGCCAACTGACACAACCCAAGTACTGAGTCGACGCACTGCCAACTAGTAAACCAAAATGCCGCGTCGACGCACTGCCAACTAACAGCCAATATCCAATGTCCAAAACCCAAGCACAACTTGTCAACGCACTGCCAAGCAAGAAGTGTGGAACCAAAGTTCTCAAGTCAATGCACTGCCAACTGACCAAAACAACCCAAGCACAACTAGTCGACGCACTGCCAAGCTAGAGGTGTGGAAACGATCTCAACAAAGCCCGAAGGCGACGACACTAAATGCCGCGACTAAACCAGATGCGGCAAATCCGACTTTCTGATGTCTCAAAACTCAAACTCAAATCACAGTAGCTACAAGTGCTCAGGGAGCAACTCGTCGCGACCGGGCAGGGGTAGCAGAACTTCTTAGGGTGGAATCACGCGGCACGCAAATTGTACAAAACAATCTGAAATGAGAGTGATTCACAGTCCGGGGGAAAGCTTCCTAATACAAAGAAACAACGTGCTACTTATACTGTCTACAACGATGCTTAGTAAAGTCCTGTACAACTGCATAGTAGCTACGCTATCTAAGATCGGTTGCCTTTTAGGGTAATGAAAAGTTGAACAATCGGACAGGTCCTGAGTGATCAGGACCCCGCCCCATAGTCCATATGATACTTTTGATGTGGGTCAACCCACCGCGTCATACTTTTGGAATATGACGTGCTGGATTGGCCAACGGGTATGTCTTGGCAAGTGAGACCAACGTGGGCGCCCCAAGAAGCCGTATGGCCCTAGGCACGCTGGTCGTCCCTCACATGGTTCGGTTCACGGATCTAGCCGTGTCGATTTTAGTGTGTTTGGGTATGGGCGCGACTCGCCGTGACACTTGGAAGTGTCACCGCGACGCGTCCACAGTGTCCCATGATCGAATGGGTCCCGACATGTGACAAGTCGTTGTTGTGGCACAATCTGAGGAAACGTCCAATTCAAAACCGGGAGTTGCCGCGACAAGATCGGTTCAATCTTGTAACGCCAAGTCCTGTCCAGTAGTAGTTGTAATATTGAGAATGTCGCACATTGCTCAGCCCTTCAGCCCAAGTTCCCATCTGCAGAGAATGACCCTTTTGAGGAGTCGCCGCAACAAAAGATCCCTTTTGGGGAATTGTCGCGGTCCAAGCGTTCGTCACTAATAGCCCTGAGCCTGGTATAGACTCATAAGACCAATTCCACAGTAGTGGTCTGACTGCCTTGCTATCGTCGACACTATCCACAGTCGTCGACTGGGCAGTAGACCCTTAAGCCCTACTGAACGTAACACTGTCAACCGCGACACGATACACCGAGTGGTTCGAGAGTAAACTCTGTAAAAAGCGCAAAAATACGCCCTTACAGAGCTGGTGCAGAGCGCGTCTGGTAGCCAGCCTATCAACGAGACAAAGTATTTAGTCTCAGTCGGTCAATGGAGAAAACAACTCGATTAGTACTGTAGATGAGATGAAGTATTTAGTCTAAGGTACGTAAGTGAAGTACGGGTGAACTTGGAAAGGAAATGTTCGCACCTCAGTCGGTCAATGGAGAAAACGACTGAGGTGCGAATGCGACCGAAAATGGGAGATAAAGTGACCAGACATAGCAGTTGATCCAAGTCCCCGACCCGGACCGGAACCTCTGCGCTAACAAATAGCACTGTTGGGGGATTCCAGGGGAACCCCTCTCAATGGCTAGAACTGGTGATAAGCTGGCTACCAGACATGCTCTGCATCAACTCTCTGTTAACAAAATCAATAGTTTTTACTTGAATAATCACGCAGTTGTGATTATAAATCCTATTGACGCAGAGCAAGGTTTATTGGGACTCTTATATAATGGGTCCAATATCTGGTAGTCAGGAATTGTTGAATATAACAACAATTAGAGTACTCTAGTATTCACAGATTTAGCAAAATGCAAATGTAGAATAGTATATCAATAAACTACTGGTTTAGCAACACAGTAGATGTAATTGATAGGTATTATGAAGCTTGTAAGTTTCAAGAACAGATCAGAGTGTGGATAACAGATGTGAATTCAAAGGTAAGATGCCCCTCCACTGAGAGGGCCAATTGTTTATATAATTAAACTAAAAGGCTGTGTACATAGCCTATAGCTGCACTCCATAGTATATATCAAAAAGGCTCTGTACGCAGCAAGGCAGAGGAAGGCTATGTAAATCATATCATGTAACTAAGAGTTTTGATCCATTGATCACTAAGAAGTATTAGATCAATCAACCGATATTTACAATTATGAATCGTAAACGTCTATAATCCATGACACTCTCTAAAGGTGTCATTTTGCACTTTTACAGAGTAGACTCTTATACCCACCTGGTGTATCATGTTGCAAGTCTCAGCATTGCATTCAGTAGGACTGAAGGGTTGAATGCCCAGTTGATGGCTGTGGATGTTGAGCACTGGGGAGAGCGTCTAGCAGTTCACCTGTGTGAGTGAGAGCTTAGTGTGGGCACTATGCGGGAGTAGTCAAGAGACTTGTATTAAAGGGTAATAGAGCCCTCCTTATATATGATACAGGGGGCCATTTGTGTCTATTTGGGACAAGTCGATATGACTCTAGATGACACGTGATGGAGTCATAGATGTGTATCACGACATCCATCTTGACAGATGATATTTGATCAACACTCCCCCACGCTGAAAACCACGGGATAGTGTTTGAAAGCAAAATCTTCATTGGCCATTCCTTCAGGACGAGTTGAACTCAAGTCCTAGTTGAGATCTGAACTTCTCAAACTTGACGCGTCCTAGGTTCTTGGTGAACATATCTGCAGGATTCTTACTGCCCGGAATAAAGAACAGTTCAACCTCTTCTTCCTCGACTCGCTCACAAATGTAGTGATAGCGGATGTCTAGGTGTTTCATCCTGCGGTCTTGGTAGGCATTGCTGCCACTGAAGAGTGCACCCTGATTGTCACCGCAAATGGGTACTGGGATGGTGAGCTTGAACTGGAGTTCCGAAAGGACGCTCTTCAGCCACATCACCTGGCGACTACAATAGGGTGTTTCACGAAGCGTTTTTATGACGTTTTTACGATTCCTTTTATGTTGCTTTTACGAACAGAAAAAGACCATAAAAAGCGCATAAAAGGGTCCCTTCGTGAAACCCCCCCAAATTTAAGTGTCCTTTTATCCTCTTTGATGCTGAGGTAGCTTCGTCACATGCCTCGATCTCACGTGGTTCCCCGATTACAGGCGACCGGTCGAAGGTAATGTGACACTGTGTGACACTCTTCCCTCTCCCAATCCATGCCCAAGGTCTCGCTACGGAAACGACTTATCGATGGCGCCTACGCTTACGCACAACGTTTACAAGCATGGAGAAAGCGGGAAAGGGACCGGAGGGAGAGACGGGAAGAAGAGGTCGTTTTGGGAAAAGTGGGAGACGAGCACTGGCAGGAACTGGTAGAGGACGTTGGTCGCCCTGGTAGCCCTATGGACATCAGTGATGTTAGCGACGTATCGTCAATCTCATCCGTATCTGCATCCACCGGTCCTGAAGATGCCGCTGACTCGGAGGATGAGGAGACGCGGCGGTATCTTGGAAGATATGCGGCAATACGGGAACACATTCAGCAGCTTGAGAGCGTGCGCACTCTGAAGCCAAGGACCAAGGTTCCGAAGAGGTCTCAACTCAGTCTCGTTCTTGTTCTGTACCGCAAAGATGACCCTGTTCGCTTTCGACGCAATCTTCGCGTGGCACCCAATACATTTGATGGGATCGTCCGACAAATCGAGAATAACCCGGTTTTTGGAGGGGAGGAGGAGACCGGGAAACGTCAGCTCCCTGTGGACCGCCAGCTTGCCATCGCTCTGTTCCGATTTGGCCATTACGGCAACAGCGCATCCGTAGAGTCCATCGCTCAATGGGCGGGTGTGTCTGCCGGCATGGTTGTCAACGCTACGCGGCGGGTTATCATCGCCTTACTGGATCTTCACGACACTGTCATCCGTTGGCCAAACGCTGAGATGAAAGAGGATGCGAAAGACTGGGTCGAAGAACAGAGCTGTGCAGCATAGAGGGACGGGTGGCTCTTAGTGGATGGTACTCTCGTTCCTCTGGCAGAGAAGCCTGCCTATCACGGAGAGGCGTATTTCGATCGCAAAAGCAACTACTCGTTCAATGTTCAGGTGCGTTCTGAACGTTCATGGAACCGGACGCAGTCTGATCTGTCTCACAGCTGATTACACTGCCGAATCTCCGCATTATCGACTACGTGATTGGACACACAGGCAGCACCCATGATTCGACTGCATTTGCTGAATCAAGGACTTGCAAGGATCATGCTCAGTTGATCGGACCGAACGAGTGGATCTGGGGGGATTCAGCGTATCCATCGGAATCATGGTGTGTCACGCCTTTCAAGAAACCAGCAAACGGCCTTGCCGAGAACAAAACCTTCAACTACTGGGTCTCACATGTCCGCATCCGATCTGAGCATGCTGTAGGCTTCCTCAAGGGTCGATTCCAATCACTGCGCGGACTTCGTCAACAGATCAAGAACGAAACAGATCATCTTTGCGTGCTAGAGTGGATCCGAGCTTGCCTCGTTTTACACACACTCATTCACAACATCGAGTCGGAGGAGGGCACCCTGGATCAAGAGTGGGAGGAAGAACTCATTCGGGACGGAGCGGAGGATGATGGGCATGACGAAGATGACGAGGACCCAGCTCCTGCGAGGCGTAACAGAAGGGGCCGAGAGTCATCTGGGCAGAGGAAGCGAAGAAAGGTGAAGGAAGCGCTCTTTGCTAGCGGTGTTACTCGACGAAGGAATCATCATGTTTCATAGATAGAATATGTGCTAATCAAATCGATACTGGCTTGGAGAACTTGAACCTGAGAACTGACTGTTACCCGCATCGCCGTAACTGAATCCAGAGAGGCTGGACGGTGACAGAAGTCCATCAGTATGATATCCGGGGTTCTGCTGCTGACCTGTGTTCTCTCCGGCATCATAGTTCTGCGGCTGCTGCCCCATGTTCCCTCCTCCATATGGCCCTTGGGGCGGGCCCATCTGTGCTCCCACTCCACCATTCCTGCGATTGAAGCCCATCATCTGCTGCATCATGTTCATCATCATCTGATCCCGCTGCAACTGAGCCTGCCTCGCTTCTCTTTCCATCTTCATTCGCTCCTTGTCATTGTCAAGCTTGTGGCGTTTGTTCTCCTCTCGCTGGAGCTCGAGAGCGAGTCGTTCGCGGCTCCGATTTGCGGATTCAGCGAGCTCTTGCTGATGGATCTCATCCAGAGATTCGATATCAAATGCAGCGCGGCGTTTCAGTTTGTGCTGTTTCTCAGGTTTCTGGTAAGTTTGTCGGTCAATTCAGAAATGACAACTCAGAAGCTGACTTACGGACTTGATGGGCTTTGTGTCCTTTCCCTCGACAACCACTTCTCTGTCATCTTCATCAGCATCTATCGCCCCGGCTTCTGATGATGCTTCGGATCTGGAACGGGGCGATGAAGGTGTATCGACACTGAGTTCCTTCCATACAGACGTCTCCTTCCTATCCTCTGAATTGTAGATCGGCTCCATCCCAAAGATAGTGCCTGCTCGTTTGGCATGATTGCCACCAGACTTCGCATTTGAGACCCCGACAGGGTTGTAGTTCGGCAGTTCTCGCCAGAACGCATGCAGGTCATCCCAGTGAACGAACTGCTCCCGGATCTTCTCTGGTTTCCGGTCAGAACACGGAACAGAATCACTCATGGTATACCTATCAAGTTGGCCTGCTCCTCCTCTGATTTGACCCCGCCGCCAGTGTCATACAACGTCTTGACGTGTGTGCCATACTGCTTCTTCATCCTGGATACCGGTAAGCAAGTCCGCTCATGTATATCAGCCATGGCAGCTCACCGAGAGAACTGCTGCTGTAGGGACTTCGCAAAGCGTTCACGATTCCCCAGATACATGGCAACATTTTCGGGACTCAGCACTCCAGTGTTGTTGGCCTCATCATCCGTATCCTCTCCACCGGTCTCCTTGTCTTCAGCCACCAGGCCGTCCGAGTCCTTGCTCCCACTCGCTGCCTTGGCCGCATCCTCTTTCATCTCCTCCGCCGATTTCACGCCAGCAACATAGTCCATCATCATCTCGTACATCTGAAGCTTTGTCGTCTTGCCCTGGACCTTGACACGGCCCTGCGCGGTTGCATCGCTGGTGGAATCGCTGTAGAGCTTCCGGCGGAAGGAAGGGTTGTCGACGAGGAACTCGATAGCTTTGGCAATCCAGGCTGGGTTCTTCTCCCACGGAATGCTGTCACCCTTGGACCTCTTCCCATCCTCGACCTCGATGGTGTCGTCATCGTTCCCGTCCTCCGCTGCAGTCGCTTTGGCATCGGTCGCCTTTGTGGTCACCTTAGTGGTGGTCACTTTTCGAGAGGCCGCTTTCTGCTTCTTGATGACATCGCTGGTACCCTCGTTGGCGTTCTTCTTCTTCCTAGGATTGCCCATAGTGGATAGGAGAGAAAAGAGTGTAGAATAGGGGACAGTAACATGACAAGATGACATAACACGAGCTCATAAAAAGCCCATAAAAAGCTGACCGAAAAAAAGACCTCTGAGCATAAAAGGGCTCGAACGCTTTTATGCACCTGTTGCAAAAAAGGCGACTTTTTTATGAGACCCGTTTTTTGATGGACTCAAAAAAGGATCATAAAAGGATCGTAAAAACATCATAAAAACGCTTCGTGAAACACCCTAATCTGAGATCGCCATGTACTCTGCTTCGGTTGAAGACTGCGCAACAGTGCGCTGAAGTCTAGACTGCCAGCAAATAATCCCGTCTGCAAGTTTCGTGAAGAAACCAGTGGTAGACCTCCTCTTGATCGGATCAGCAGCCCAGTCTGAATTGCTAAATGCAATTAGCCCTCTATCCATCGCACCATTGAAAATGAGCGAATAATTCCTAGTACCAGCCAAATAGCGGCAGATATACAGCGCTTTATGGAGGTGGTCTTGGGACGGATTGGCAGCAAATTGTGACAATTTGGTCACAGCAAATGCAATGTCAGGACGTGTGCCTAGCATGATGAAGAGAAGAGATCCAATTACTGATTGGAATTTCTTCCTGAGCTCAGGATCGACTTCATCCTCGTTTGGCATTGGAACATATCCAGCCGGTAGAGGGGTCGCTGCGAACTTGGTGTTCTGCATCCCAAAGCGCTCTAGTACCTTGTCGAGATAGGGAGTCTGATCAATCTTGATCGAAGATCCTATTCTACTGAGGCGTACGCGCAAGAACTCTGGAGTATCTTCAGAATTGCGGCATTCCCATCGCTTGTTGAACTCAGCCTTGAGAAAGGCGAGGAGCTTCTTGTTCTTGGAGAAGAACAGTGCATCATCCACATAGACTATTATGACGGCTATGCTGCCATCAGAGTCCTTGTAGAAGAACACGCCGGCATCCGATGTCAGTCGGATCCAGCCCATGGCTTTCGTGGACTTGGTCAGCGCTTTCCACCATGCTAAAGCAGCTTGTTTGAGTCCATAGATTGCCTTGTGCAAGCGCATGACTTTGCGCTCTTGGCCTCTTGCCACAAAGCCTTCGGGTTGTTCCATGTAGACCTCTTCGTCAAGCTCTCCATAGAGAAAAGCCTTACTGACGTCGAGTCCAGACCAATGCCAATCATTTAGCGCTGCAAGCGCCATGACCAACTGGAACGTCTCATACCTGACGACAGGAGAGAATATCTTGTCATAGTCAACACCTTTGACTTGACTGAAACCCTTGGCAACTAGGCGGGCACGTTTTCGGCCATCAGATTTTTGGTCAAAGACCCAGCGACATCTGATAACCTTCCGTCCTTTTGGACGGTCCACAAGGGAATAGACCTTGCGCTGACAAAGTGCCTCTAACTCGTCGCGGCAAGCATCAATCCAACCTTTCTGTTGTTCAGAAGGCAACCGCTTGATATCGCGGAACGTCCAATCGCAAATTTTGGACGTATCAGGTAGGTTCTCATTTGGAACCGCTTTTGACAGCAGCGCCGTGATGAGCTCTACTCCCCCTTCCTGGCATAGCTTCTCCATGCGTGCATCCTCGTCTAGATCATCAGAAGCACCCGCGTTTGAGGAATCTGGTTGCGAGCTAGGGCCAGGAACCCCTGCATCAGCACAGGTTGATGGTTGAGATTGGGAGCTACCCTTATCTTCACCAACATACCGCTTCCATCCTCTGCTGTTCTGGATGTCACGGACTATATCCGTAGAGGTACGCTTTTCCCCATAGACATTTCCTGGACGTGTAGGCACATTCCGCTGGCGTGAAGACCTTCGAGGCTTGGGAGCTGGTGAAGCTTCCCAACTTGGTCGTGGAATTCTACTTCCACAAGTCCTCTGAGGTTCATCCCGATGCTCTGGCGGTGGGTCCTGACAATTATGACCGTTGTCACCATCATCATTTCATCGTACGGGAGGTGGTGGAGCCGGATCAGATGGCATGGGGAATGGAAAAGGATTATCTCCATATAGC